AGATAGGACCTGGAGCTGGGATATATTGGGATCCGCTGCAGTGTGTTAAAGGGCTTAACTTGGACTTTCCTACGATTTTATTGAATGTTCTGTATACTCTTTAAACCATACATTAGCAGTATGCATTTTGAGGCCACTGCAGTTTCAAGTTGGTTTGGAGCTGCATTAAAAAGTCAGTGTAGATTGAGCCAAAGTAGATTTAAACATCCCCCCCCCACCCCTAAAAAAAAAAAGACAGTTCAAAGCCTGAAAAAAGATGCTAAAGAAACACCAATGTCATGCAACGGAAGGTTCACAAATAAGTTCTGTACTGAAGAACCGGTGTCTAGTTGTGTGTATCCATTCTTCATCTGTGCACAAATTTAACATGTGTGGATGTCTTTCCATTGCCTAGATGGAGGAATTTTACTTGTATTTACTAATACTTTGTAGCTAACAAAGAGCAGCCCAGCCTTTGAACCATCATCATCATCATCATCATCATCATCATCATCATCATCCATTATTAAATCTGCTGGTTTGGATATCTCCATTAGTTCTCTATCAGTGGAGCCATCTCCTTGTATTGTGCCAAGTGAATGGGCATAATTTTTTCAGGGCAGAGGGCAACCACTGTGACTTTCCAGTCCAGTCTCCCTGATCAACAGGGGAATCACGTGATTCTTGTACTCCTGATTCCTTGTACCATATCTTCTGTTTTAAAAGCCATGCCTAGTATCAATTTTTCTCTTTAAAAAGTAAATAGCCCACCTACCTTTTAAAATGGGGGTCTTACTCTACCTCCACTGCATGGAACATTCATATATGCATCACCTGATCTCATCCTCATAATGTAAGAATCTAGTAAATTAGTTTTGCTCTGTGAAAACTTATACAGGGTGTTTTAAATAATGAACCCAATTTGTACTGTTTTAGCCATTTCCTGAATAAAAAAATCCAAGGAATGGCCACAATCTATAAGTATCAATATATCATTACTTGAGTTCAAATTTAATAAAAAATATGATTTGCCTTCATTTTTCCTCTAACTCTTTTCAGGGCTCTCGGTAGCAATTTCCTTGGGCATACCTTAACTTACACTGCCACCTAGTGGAAACTTTGAATGAAACAGAACTGTTCTAAGAATTGAGCATAGCAAGAGTTTCAAATAGGATGAAATTGATTTGAAGTACATTTGTTATACACAGTGCATCAAGAAATCCAGCACAGGTGTATCAAAACTGGCAGAGACTCCATTAAAAAACAAAAGCATTAAAAAGTGCAGGACAGAAACATTGCCTCAAGTTTTAGCCCTCTCGGGTGCAAGTGTTATTGGGTCTAACAACTAGTACCTTGTGAGCTGTCCATCGAGCAATACAGGGAATACATAAAGCTTATTGACTTGATAGGGGTTTTTCCCTAGTAAAGTTCAGTTTGAAGCACACATGTCTAAAACAGATGATACCAATAATAGCCTATACCTTTCCTGAACTGGTTGTGTCCTGCTGATCACAGATACTACAGAATTATTTTGAGTTATCAAGGTCAATGGGAATCAACCCAAAATATGTTGCTTCCTGAAACACACAGCTAATAGCAGCCAAGACTGGTGAAACTGATTTGATAACTTAACCAGGAAGTCCTTTATCCAGTAGTCAAAATAGAAGAGCAGTAGCAGCAATATTAACTAAACCAAACAAGCCTCCCTTAGTCCCAGCTTTGTTTTGGGGGGGGGGGTAGAAAGGAGTAGAATAGAATAAATTCACTGCTACTACTAGGGACCTCTTCACATGTCCAGCAGTAGGAGGCAGCGGTTCTCCGGTTTGCCACAAGGCATGGGGAATCTGGCGCCCCATGCTTAACCTCACCTGCCTCGCCCACCAATAAGGCGATCACATGGGGGGAAGTATGGAACACAAGTGGTGCATGCAGCACAAATAGACAATAATCACTATCCTAAGACTTCCATAATAGTGAACTAACATACATACATTCAAACTTGATTAAGTTAAAAGATAATTAAAAATATCATCATATGATGAAGTTTTTCCTCTCCAGACACAATTCAAAGACCAATAAAGAGAGAAATCAAGATCTATAAAGCCTTTTATCCAAACTATATGAGATACCATATATTAACTTATGAACCTGCTCATGTTTTCAGATTTCCTGGGAAGAATTTTCCTTTTGCCCTATTACCTTCACAAATATATTTAATAAGGAGAATGGAAAGAGGCTTTATTGTCATACAAATGGATAATGATCACACCATATTTTTTCACTCCAAGGGCACAAGGGGAGTGACCAGGCAGGCAAAGTGACCAGGTATGTATGAGGTAAGTCACATAATATAGTAAGCCTTCCAACAGCTCCTCTTCCAGTGATACATTTTTTTTTCAGATTTGGGGTAAATAAAGAAGACTATTGTGTGGACTTCAAGCTGAAAGTGAAGTAGAACTGTGAAAACACAGTTTTCAGTTAGTGAAAATTTGGTGTGAAACTAAAGGAAGCTAAAAGACAAGTTAACAAACACATACCTTTCTAGACTCATGTTTAGAGGTCCTAAAACAGGCAGGTTTCCACAAATTGATGAAGGGATGTTTGTGTATGTCAACAAACTGTGTCACAATAACTGCACTGTATCATATGAGATGTGTCAAATAAAGGCATGGGAGGTAGAGCAGAAACACAACATTCTTACAACTCAGTTTAAGGAGAGGCATGGCTGGGTTATGAGGGTCCTGCAACGATGAAATCTGGCTGTGTGAAGCAAAATCACAATATGCCAAAAATTGCCACCTGATTACACTGACAAGTTTGAAAACTTGCATTCAATTGTCTTGCTTATGTACAAAGGAATTTCATACTCACTTTGTCAAATTGGTAATGCTGATCAGACTCCAGTGTTTTTCTATATGCCTAAAAGGATCATCAAGTGTATCTCTGAAAACCCATGGCAATGAGAAATTATGGTGCATGGAAATGCTTGCCCTTACAACTGATAGAAGAAAATGATCACCTTACATAACTTTCAAGAACTTTAGCACAGCTGATAAATCACCAGCAACTATAAGATCTATCAACCGAAAGGTTGCAAGTTTGAAGCCCTGGGTTGGTGTGAACACCCGACTGTCAGCCCTGCTCGCTGTTTACCTAAGCAGTCAAAAACAGCTTTAGCTGTAATTAGAGAAATTAGGTACTGCTAAAAGCAGAGGAGGTGTTTTATGATACCATAAAGAAAGAAGATCAGAAAATGCCGAGAGAGAAAATGGAAGGAGGAAGTCCTGACGGCTCTTCGTCATACAGTATGGAGTGACTGCACCCCCTGTGACTGGACTCGAGTCCAACCTTCCACGGCACCAAAATAGCTGAACACTGAGTTGAAACAACACACCTCCTTCTGTTCTGTCTGTCTGTGTATTGTCTATACAAAACGGCATTGAATGTTTGCTGTGTATGTGTACTGTGATCTGCCCTGAGTCCCCTTCGGGGTGAGAAGGGCAGAATATAAATAAGTTGTTGTTGTTGTTGTTGTTATCATTGAGGAAAACAATGCCTAAGGAAATATAATTCACCCATAGAATTCATGTACAAGTGCAACCAAAGGCTTGTGTGGATTTAGAATTCATGGTGAAGTGGATTAAAACTGTGTGGAATAGAAGATCAGTTGCACTCTGAAACAGCTGGCTCTGCTTGTTTTAGATAGTTTCCAAAGTTACATCATGAATGAAGTGAAGCAACTTCTTTGTGAAAACAGAGGCTACATGTAGGAAATGTAGTCATTCCAGTTGCCTAACTTATATCTTGCAGCCACTGGGTTACTCCAAAACCTTTTATAATCACAGACCACTTCACCATTCCTACAATGAGTGGGTGATGAGCAGTGATCACCATTTGATGCCCACTACTCATAATAAGTGCCCATCTATGGAACTGATATGCATATGCAGCTAAGAGCAGGGACCTAATAGCACATGAAACAGTCATCAAAAGAGTAAAAAAAAAAAAAACGGGAATCTCGAATGCACTAGATGGATATGAAGATGACACACTGTGGCAGAGTGATGATGAAATAAACACATCTAGTATGTGTGGTGCATCAGAAAGCCAATGATAATAGTGTAAAATATATAAAATTAATTTTTGTAAATCCATCCTAACCTTTATCCTAATCTTGCTTCAAAGACAGTTTTAAGTAATAAAAATCTTCACATTAGGTCAAACCTCATTTTTTGGCAAATAATGCTATATCTACTAAGATTATGCGGTGAAATACGATATTTATTTAAGAAGGACACAGGAAAAGCTATGGAACTCTGCCATAAGATGGAAGGTTAAACACTTCCATGCATACCTTCCACTGGCAGGTAAGGGCTTCTTTATTTGAAATCTTGACATAGAGCTTATCTAAACAAACAAACAAAAATACCTGGACTCACCTTGAATAATGCATGTTGTCTTCATGATGCACAGGTACTTCCATTGAGTATTTTGGATTTTCTGTCTTTAATTCTACTTTAAGATCAACTTTAGGAAAAGTCAGAAGACAAAAAATATGGGCCTGAACTAGCATCCCAGACAAGATCAGACCCACATGGCAGTCCAATAGGTACTGCTTAAGTTGCCTCTGAGACAGCAGGACTGCCAAACCACACAAACCACTACTTGACTCAGTATTTGAATGGAAACTGTTCTAGAGAACAACAGAAGAGCACTGAAACTTAAGGCAGCTGCCCTTCATTTGTTCACCCAAATCATTATTTTGTAGTCCACCATCTAAGAAACTGAAGCACCCTGAGGACTAATAAACTGATGTGTGATAAATTTGAGAATAAAATTTAAAATAGTCTCAAATTTACCACATGCAAAAAATAACTGTGTAGTTATTCCGAAGCATAAAACTTTCCATAGACCAATTAAAAGATTTTGGTGTTGCTTAATCTAACAAAGACCAGCAAGTAAAAATCTAGTTCTATAAGAAATTGGTAATCAATAACGAAAGAAGTCCAGCTAGTGTGACATTTTAATTACATAGTCAACACGTAGTTCAATAAATTTTATGTGTGACATTTAATAACATTCTTGGAAATAAAGGCAAGGCTTGTTTTAATAAAAAGAAAGCATTTTTACAATCATTTTTTTCTCACTATTACAGTCAAAGCTTTCATAAGATTTCTATGGATTTAATCATATTTGAAGTAGAAAATTGTTCACACACTGTATCTTCAGTCTGCTAATTATTTTCCTTCTCAAAAAGAAATCATTAAAAAGATTAGTTATTTATGGCAACACAGAACCCAAATCCATTAAAGAAATCACCCTTCAAATATAGTGGCCATTATTTTGTCAAAACTACAACCAGCAGACAGTATCACTATAGCTATTATTATATGTGCACATAATTTTGCGTATAAAAACATGATACATGGTTCTGTGTGCAGAGGGAAGAAGAGAAAAAGGAAGGAAGAATTTCATCCAGCTTCCCCCAAATAACACATTCAATGCAAAAGTTCTAAGTTGTTTCAACATTCATTTTCCATATTGGCATTTCCTTCTTAGAAATACTGATATTAAAAGGTCAGTAAAGAAGACTCAGAAAATGAATCTACTATCTCGAGAGGGTCATCCTCGCCATCAGGTGACAAGAATTCCTTCACTATAGTCCACAGATGTCTAAAGATCAAGAAATGGGAAAAAAAGAAGAGGACAATTACTTAAACAAGTACTTATAGCTCTGAAGTAAATGATGCAAATATTTGCCCTTAGACAGAAAGGTTTTTCCCAGAGGTTCTCCAGAAATCCTCAAGGGTGACATCATCATTGGGAATGTAGCCATTGTGACATAGCTTGATGTTTATCCGATTCCTTTTGTTCTCCACTAACCATTAAATGGGTTGGGAAAAAGTAGTATAGAAATGTTCAGGTCATCCAATGTAATTCTATGGTCAGTTTCCAGTGGAAATTGACCATAGAGTTGTGCTGGTAGACTTAGTATTTCCTAGATAGGTGTGCTCGCAGGTAAAAAAAAAAAAAGCTTTGGTCATGGTTTTTCACTTTCACAAGGATCCTGTGCCCCTAATCCCAGAATATGGAGGGCTGGTTATATTGATGTGGCTGTCTCTTTTTGTCTCATCTATGTGAATGCTGACTAGTTGCATATTTTCTTCAGAAGTGTGTTATTAGTATGAACTTTTCTGCAATGTCTTACATTTAGTTCTGTATATCACTAGGAAGGAGATTAATATAAGACACAGATGAGATTTGCTTTGGACTCCCCAAATGAAGATGGAAATATACGGCAGTATTATTAGCAATAGTGATAGAATTAAAATGCCAAGTTGGAGTGGGGTTAGAGAGTTAATGAATGCTAAGATCTGAGTTTTCATTTTACCTCTACCATCTTAACTAACTTTGTCTTACTTTTAAAAAGGCATATCTGAATGACAGATTCACTTTAATGTTGCTAGAGCTGTTCCTTCAAATGACCACTGATCTGTGGCTTTCCTTAGGGCTCCATTCTGTCTCCTATGCTATTCAACACATACATGAAGCCTCTTAGACAGGTCATCTAGAGGTTTGGGTTCAGTGCCCGAAATAAGTCAATGTCATGACACTCAAGTCAATTCTATTTCTTTCCACCTAACTCCAAGGAAGCTCTTTCACTTCTAAATCAATGTCTGGCACTTGTAATTAATTGGTTTAGGACAAGCAAATTGAAGCTCAGTCCACACAACACAGAAGTGTTTCTGGTCAGTTGGAGTTACAATACCCCTGAAGATGCAAGTTTGTAATTTGATTGTACTCCTGGATTCAGCATTGAATCTAGAGCACCAGGTTTTTGTGGTAGTCAGGACTGCTTTTGCACATTTAAAACTAGTACCAACCTATCTAGTTCTGAAAATGCATGTTCTAGCTATGGTGATACATGTTTGATTCGACATGGGCTATCTTTGGAGAGTGTTCACTTACTATTGCAGCCAGAAAATTATCTGGAGGTGGTTACAGGGTCCTTCAATTTCCCTACTCCTACACCTCCACTGGCTACTGGCATGTATGAAGGTACAGTTTAAAGTATTGGTTATGATCCATAAATCCCCACTGAGTTTACATCAAAGCTATCTTATTATTAAAGATTATTATTATTATTATTATTATTATCATTATTATTATTATTATCTGATATTGCATCTCCCCATACAAGCTTGCTTGGACCTTAAGATCTAAAGGAAAGAGCCTACCACCTTCAAAGGCATAGTAGGTAGGAAAACGAAAGAGGTCCTTTTCAGAGGCTATTCGCTTTCTCTTAAGGGGTGCTAAGATCTTACCCTCTTGCTGTCCTTGCTTTGGCTGGAGATTTTATTATTTGTAGAGGCTTATAAAACTTGAGTTTTTAAAGGAAAGGACTGCACATGGCTGCTACATTGCTTTAAACTACATTGATTTAACTCATTTTAGTTATCTGTTTAAAGAATATATTTTAAACATAGTGGTTTGGGAATAGGATTACAACTCTGGACACTAGAGTTTGAATCCTTGATCAACCTATAGAAACACATTGGATAACTGTGGGCAAGTCACGTTGTCTCAACCTTAGAAGAAACAAAAAGCTAACCCCTCTAAAGAAATCTTGCAGAAAATGATAAGGTCACCATACATCAGAAGGCACATAATAATAATTTAAATTGATTTAATGTGATTAGTAAATTTATTTCATTTTAATGCTGACTTTTAGTATGCTTTTAATTATATGTATAGGTCTTGAGTCCCATTATTGTCAAGAGGAGGAAGAGGAAAATGAGGATAATTGTCTGTTTCGTTGAAATTAATACAGCATGCCCACACCATAGCTATACTGATATGCACATATGGAAAAACCTCTAATTTAAACCTTCACTTCCTTCCCCCAAAAATCATACACTCACATAAACCTTCTTAGGTGCACAAATCTTTAGAATATTATGGAGCAGCAATCTCTGTTAAATCTCTGAGTTGCTAGTCCTGATTAGAAAAGATTCATTATATCAGCAGGACTTTATGAATTCACAACTACTACTTTAGACGAAGCCTAAAAATATATTAATCCTATTCTATAGTGGGTTTCTATAGCTCCTAATTTTGTATTTTTTATTACATTCCTCAAAATATATTTTAAAATTGTTATAATGGAATTTTGTTCAATTTCCCTACTCCTACACCTCCACTGGCTACTGGCATGTATGAAGGTACAGTTTAAAGTATAGGGCGGATCTGGTCCATAAAAGCAGTTTGTGAATGTTCAAATAAAATACAATTTAAATAAATGTAAGGAATCTTAGGAAGAAGTGTTTGAATCTAAAGGGTAACTTGTGCACTGATAAATATTGACTCATATAGACATGGACTACATATTTTGCCTTCAGGTCAGTAGACAACATCATAGCACCTGAGAAGTTGCTACTTTGGGGACTGAACAGTTGCATTATTAATCTGTGCCTTGCTGATAATTAATGGCATTTAAATGAGCTCATGAGCACCAAGGGCGAAGAGATGATACAGTTCTGACGTCTCACAATTAGACACCCTCCTTCAGTTATATGCCTCCAAGACAGACTTTGATTCTCCTGCTTCTCACAGTCTTCCAAACTCCCTAATCTATAATGGAGAAGAGTTATGCCAGCTTTCGAACTGAGAATCATAATAAAGGGAGGGCAAGATTTGGGAGCACCCTCATTTATAAACTGTCTTATTATGCAAATATCCCCAAGGCGCAGCACAGTTTTCAAAGAATTTAAATGTGCACTTTACCAGGAGCAAAACTGAAAACAGTCTTAAAAGTTTAGCACATTAAAAAATATTTAGTGAGGGCATTTCTTTAGCTATCTCAGGGCTAATTACTTTTAATAATTAACAGCCTATAAATGTGACTAATTAACCTTGTATTTCAGTATTATCTGCTGCTAATTACCTTAATATTTTATTTCTAATAACCTCTAGGATGGCTGTACTTTAATGGTTTTAAAATAACACTGCTGGTTTATTTTTATTTTACTTTTGATGGAATTATTTTCACTGTACTTGGAAGGACGGTGTTGCTAGTGTTCTTTTAAGCTTCCTCTTTCCTGTGTCACTAGGACTGGACAAATCTGGCTTTGTGATGACAAAGTCCAACTTCCAAAATCCTATCATTAACTGACCAAATAATAACTCACATCTAGCAGATTAACTCTTCTCTTAGTGGTGACAAAGAATCCAGAGCCCTCAATGCTTGAACAAAAGTCTTTGACACTAGTTGTGGCAGAGAGAAAACTATTGTTTGGATGACTAATAGTTATAGAGAAATGAAGGTTGGTGTAGCATTTCAGAAAGATGTCACCAGTGCACCAATGACCTTGTGTGTTACTCAAAAAGCAGCACTGTTTGAGAGCTCTGGAACATCAAAGAGTCTAACCAATTTTTCTCAGCTTATGGAAGTAATTTTGTCTAGCTACAAAGATAAATATACATTACATTAAATTGGGAGTGGGTGAACTGCATATGAGGCTGCATATGACCCTAAGATCCCATTTTTGTGTCCTCGGAAGCCCTAAACAACTCTCTCCCCACCCAATTTTTGAGTTAACCCCAAATTTCATGCAGAATGCTACTCAATTGCATGAAAATGTACAAAAGAAATTATTCCTGCAAGCTCTGAGAACTCTATAGTACGTCTAAAGATTTCAGTTTGCCTTTGTAATCCTTCTTAAAATAGTGACCATTTTGAGAAAGACTGCAAAGGAAAAATGAGTCACCTTAAGTCTTTAAATTTGGAGAAAAGAGGGATAAAAATAAACATAATAAACATCAATATGATGGGTTGCTGTGGAGAGGTGCAGTCCAGGAGGGGAGGAATTGGCCCCCATGCAGTTGCCTGCCCCTGCATTAAATTTTTATATTAATGAAGTCTACCTTCACTCATTATATAGTGTCAATGTTACTTTTTAGTTCTAGTGTATGATCTTATTAAATACAGGCAGTCCCTGTGTTACAAACATCCAACTTACAAATGATTCATAGTTAAGAATGGGGGTGAGACAATAGGAAGTGAGAGGAATCTACCACAAAGAAGGGAAATCTACTCCTGAATAAGTTATCATGGGGGAAAGGTGTCTCCACTGAAGCTTTATCACCAATTTTTGCTTGCAAAACAAACCAACATTTGTCAAAATCCAAAAGGTGATGTGAAATCTTCTGAACAGGGGCACAAAATGTACCTGTTCTAACTTAAAAACAAATCCAACTTAAGAACAAACCTACAGAACCTATTTTGTTCATAACTTGGGGACTGCCTGTACTGAATTGCAACACATGGTTTTGAACCTGCACCTTAAGGAAGAATGTAAACACATCTATCACAAGCTGGATTCCTGTTTTCTGATTTGCTTTTTGACTGACAAAAAAGCCACTTTATACCTTCTGGATTAAGTTTCTATTTGTTTGTCCTCGCTCAATCTATTACTGACTTAAAACACTGGCTTGCACCATTGTAACAGAGTAATGTGAAAAGGAGAAATAAAGCTGACTGTTATCAGCAAATGGACAGCACTGAACTCGAAGGCTTCAGGCAGCCTCTCCCAGCAGTTTATCTATATGTTAAATTAGAGGTGTAGGAGTCTTGAGGGTCTTCACAGGCCAGCAGTCAAGAAGTTGATGGGATGTTGGTCTCATCTCAGCAACAGGAATTGAGTCATTGTAAAACAATGCCTCCAAGTCTCATTCCAGTGGCTCTAAAGATAACATGATGAATGGACAGAAAGCTGCCAAGGGCTTCAGCAGAATCAAACCGCAACATCTATCCCTGCTGAATTCCAGGCAAATGTCATAGATCAAGCTGATTAAAGTCTCTGTCTCATAACTAAGCTTAAAACTCATCAGAAGTTTCAATGCAATGGTAAAATTTGTCACAATAAAACTAATACTGCACATTTACTCAAAGCAAATCCCATTGAAATCAAAGAGTAATTCTCAAACATAAATGTTATAAAGGAAGTGCATTCTTGTCATATTCAGGATTAATTTTTCTATATAGATTTCATAGTCAAGTCCTCCTGCTAAGTGCCAGCGCTGGGACTGACTGATGGTATCACAACTGCCCAAATGATATCACAAGATTGAGACTCACCTCTGGGACTCTGAGCTAAGATTATGCCTCTTGAATGAGGCTGTGATATCGCTTTCAGCATCCTACAAAACACACAGGGAGAAAGATTAATATTTTCTGTAGTTTATACAAAATATTTCAATAACGAAGTGTGGTGCAGTAGTCTAAGTATTGGGTTGTGATTCTGGAAGTCCAGGTCCAAATAAAAATCTAAACCTTTATGAAAATCACTCTCTCTTAAAAGACAATGGCAAACCTATCTGAGTAAGTCCTACCAAGAAAACCTATGACAAGTTTGCCTTGTAAGAATTAACTAGAAGGCAACAACAAATTTGAAACATATGAAGCACTTACATGCATTATAACAGTACTCTTCCACAGGGAAATAAAGGAAAAATATATTTCAATAGCTTATACATGTCACTATAAGAAGAGAACCATATTATTATCCCTGGGCAGTGAGAGAAGTGGGAGGCAGTATTCAGTGGTCTTCTGATGGATGAAATATTTCAACTAGTGATACTGTGGTTCACCCCTGTAATCACATATTTAACACCAGTTTAGTATGGTAAATTTTAAAGTAATAGTATTCATAAAAGTTGAAAATGGCTATGTAGACCACCCCTGAATCAAAAATGCAGCAAGAAAACTGTAAATTGGAGCACATCCAACAAAGCCTAAAAAGTAATCGTCATACATCCTGTGTACTGAATATTTTAGCTATCCCAGATCAAGGTTACAGGATGAGTGTAAGTCATATCCTATAGAGACAAGATTGCTTACACACAGCCTTCTGTCAAATCCACGTCAGGTACTACCATACTGCTAGTGTTCAACTATATTGATGGTATTGATAGATCCTGGGTCATTATGCTGCTGAGTGAACTTACCTTTATTTGTTTCTTCAGAAATGTGTTAGATGCCTGAAGTTTTGATGCTTCACCCTGACAAAAACATAATTTGGCATTTAGTCAATAGAAAAATATTTCCCCCTAAAATCAGTAATAAAAATATTTAATTTTATTCTGTTTACTGTATTTTTATTCCACTTTCCTCCAAATATAACAAAGCTAACAGCAAACATGACACAATACAATTTAAAACCAGAGCAAATTGAGATATATGTAGTGTCATGAAGCATAACATTTAAATACAATTAAGACTGCATATAAAAATGACACCACCATCACCCCCCGAGCCACCACCATAGCCAAATATCACTCATATCATGCTCAGCAACTTCTTCATTATTTTATAAATGTTTGATGGCAGAGGCATGTTTTCCCCTACCTGTAGAAGGCAAGCAGGGATGGGGTAATCCTGTTCTTTCTAGGGAGGGGATTCCAGAGTCTGGTAGAAAGGCCATCTCCCTTTTTCCCACCAAAGAAGCTTGGGGGGTTGGTGGAATGGAGAGGATGCTCTCTCCAGAAGATCCTAGAGTTCTAAAAAGCTCATACAGAGATACACCATCTTCCAGTTAACCTGGACTCAAGCCATATAAGGTTTAATAGGCCAAAACTAGTACTCTGAATTGTGCCCAGAAATGGAGTGGCAGCCAATGGAGTGATTGCAACAGGGATGTTTTACACTCTCTGTAGCCAGCCCCATCTAGCTGCCATGCCTTAGAGTCTGCACTACATATCCAATGCCTACCAATGGGGGGCATGCAGTGGGGCTGGCACCCTGGCAATGGGCTGGGAGAGTGAGTGCAAGTCACTGCTTCCTGCTTCTTATATGAGAAAATAGCAAGAATGTGTTTGCCATTGTATAAAAATATTCATGTTCTTTATCCGGATAAAGTGTAAATGAACAGGAATGTGTAAAAATGTGTCTCTCCAGAAATTTTGAATCTGGAAATTTGAAAACTACACAAATCTGCTTTTATTCATGTTGTTTGCTCTTCTGCATATATGTACATTTTACCTGATAGTACCTTTGTTTTTATGTTTCACTTTGTGTTATATTTACTGTGACCTCTGTATTCCTGGTCTGTTAAACATGATAAATAAAATGGAATAGAATTATCAAGAGCTGAACATGTTTGAACCCTAAAATTTGGTTAATATCAGTTCATGGAAGGAAGCCAAATTCATAAACCACAGTTTGAGGTTTGCTTGTTTATTATGCTTCTGTAAAATGTCATTAAGCAGATGTACAACTTAATTGTTGTTTGTTTAAAAATGGTAGTGAAACTTGAGATCCCTTTTTTATGGTCATCACATGAGAGATGTAGAGAGTGTTTATTTTTAAATCCTAAACATTAAGCATCTCAAATCTAAGCAAGAAACCCATGTTGCTATTCTTCTTCTCATTTTATTTTCTTCCCAGTTTCTCAATAATATGTTTGAAGCAGCTTGCAGTGCATAAAATGCAAAATAAAATCAATAACATGTTCTCACTACACTTAAATGAATTTTTAAAAAGGTAAAACTAAGGCATAAACTCTTCCATCTTAATTGAAGCTGGAAATGCCCCAGATGTCCATTACACCCTTAGGTCTTACCTCTAATTCTTTAACTGTCTTCTCTTTGATGTTTGCAATGCCAGCAAAAGTCATAGTATCTTTAATTTCTTTTTCCATGGCTCCAATCTCCTCCCATTTCATGATAATTTGACACCTCAGGGATGCCATCTGCTCAGCAGTGGAAAGCAAAGGAGTCCCTGCTGCCTGCTGCTCACGATCCTTTACTGAAGAGGCAAAGAAATTACCATCACTAGACTATGAGCAGATCTATACTGACCCATTATCCCAGGGCCAATCCCATATGTTATACGCTGGATTGCTCCTGGAATGGTGTACACAATGTGGAGGTGAGAAAGAAGTCCTCACCAACCAGTGGTGCTGAATCCAGTTTGGTGGTGTCAGATGGCCACCCATACCATTCACTGTTACACACTGGTGTATGGGCATGACCTGGGTTCTGCATCGCTCACTGCTTGCAATGGCATAGACTAAAGCACTAGAGTGACGGGGGGTGGGGGGAGAGATAATTTATTGTCACTTCCTCTCCTCATCCCTTCCCTAATTGCCCTATTTCCTCAGTTGACACCACTGCAGGCAACAACCAACCAGTAGGACCCATATCATAGCTGAAGACTGCTGCAAAAAGGAGAACTGGCAGGGACAGTGAGTTCCATCCTGTGTCTCTGGGCCTCCTGAGTTGGAAGAACATGTGATAGCTGTGTAAAAGGTTTCAGCTGTGTAAAAAGTACCAGTCTGATTGTTTGCATGGGCCCACATTGACCAAAGTCATGGAGCAACCCATAACTTTGGTTAATGTGGGTCAAGGCCACATTAAAGTAACCTTCTCCTGTGTTATCCCAGGTCAGCTCCATGCATAATTTGGCATTGAGTGCCCCAAGAGTTACGTGATCCAGTGGCAAAAGTAAAAGAGACTCAAGAGAAATGGCAGCCTTCCCAATCAATTTTAACTTGTGAATGTTAACCTGCATTTAATTGGTAAATTCTAAGCTGCATTTTGCTCTTGTATATTTGCTAAATGAATTTTAATAGTGCTTTTTTCACCTTGCTGTTTTAACTACGTTGTAACCAGCCTCAAGATGCAAGGAGAGGTGGGTAATAAATAATAATTATTAGTTATGGCTTTCCTTAGAGATGACTTTAGTCAATGGGAAACGTCTATGAGCAAGTCTAGCAGTGTACTGGGCTACATAGTTTTTCTGTGTGCCTCACAAAGAAAGTATAATTATTCAAAACAACCATATTACTTACCACCTACTTTGGAGACAGACTGGCTTGCCCACGATTCCATTTCTAACTCATGCCTGAGTCTAAATTGTGAATAAAGAGGAGAAACCGTTGTTGCTAATTTTAGAAAGTGTTTTTGGTGTGAATAAGCTTGGAAAGTTATTTTAAGATAGATTACGTTGATGACATGCTGAGGCCATGTATAATTGGTTTGTGTTATGATGATACTCTAATAGCCTATTTTATTCCCATATGGTAGGATAAATATTTTAATATTTTCTCCACTGGGTGTACTTTTGAGAGTTTCTACACATTTTAGATCATATATTATACTATTTGTGAGAAGAAATAATTTAAGCAACAAAAAGGGGGGTAGACATGAATTTTTTCACATGAAATATTTTCCTATGCAATATGTTGTTTTCAACAGAGAAAAAATACGTTTTCTGTGCAACAAAAAGTGGAAAGGAGATGGGGGGTACTGATCACTAAAGCCTAGTATTGATTTGAGGGACCAAATCCAAGCAGTGTAGTCTTTGTTTGAGGGTTCCTAAAGGTGCCAGAAGGATCCAAACATCACTGAGACTTTCTTCATCCATGTATTTATTATTTGGATGAATTCAAAACAGAAGCTATTCTGACATGAAATAGGTAACCGTCTTCTAAAACAAGCCTACACTTCTCTAAATACTTATATGTTTAATAGAATTTTCCCCAGGTATCTCGAGATGTCCCTCTTCTACAGGAACTTCATTTGTTGGACCTGGTGTTTTTATTTGAATGGTAGTATGTGCAGCTGTAGTTGGTACTTAAGTATATCATGTTTAATCACACTGCCAGGGGATTTCCCTTAAAATTATCCTTGTACTATCACCAGAGCCTACACCCTGTGACATTACAAAGGGCCATTCCTAGGTCTCAGGTTAGAAATCTGAGAGCCTGGGATGGCCCTATTCTGGCTACTTTATTTTTTAGCAGGTCTCTAGGATTTTGTTGCTCTACCCACCCATCCTTTGGCTTTTAAAACCAGGGAGAGTGCTTTTGTCTGGTATAAATGACAATGTTTTTCAATTATTTTAAAAGAATTATTTTAGTTTATCTTTAAAAAAAGTGTTTGTGTATTTAATCTTGTGGGATTTTTTTTAACCATAGGGCTATATACTTGTTCTGTAAAGGCAGTCAGGTGATTGGTCCCACTAATATATTAGATTAAGCAGGTTTTTGGAATATATATATATATATATATCTTGTCCTCATCTATTTCTCAACAATTTTGCAGTAACATTAATTTACACACGCTATCATTTTAACTATATTTCCTGTTTGTTTATCCTTTTCTTTTCCCTTTGACGTTGAAAATAAACTTGTTCACAATTGAAGCCCATTTTGTAAACTAGAGAAAATAAACTATTCCCTATTGTACACTTTATTTTTCTACTAGACATAAAGTTACCCATTTAAATGAGGGTAAAAGCTCCTGTCCTTGTAAGGTTATGTAGAAAAAGGAATTGTGGCAGATGCAAACAGCATTTGCTGAAATCCATGTTTTAAGGGATCACGAGCTTTGTTTCTTATTGTACTTAGAACCTAACTACATGAAAAATGTCCAGCTACAAAATTAGAATAATGTTAAAGGATTATTTTAAAAATGACAAAACACTACACAAAGGGTTCTAGATTGTTTGTTTGATTTGATAAGTAGCATTTGATATTTAGACATCAGAGTTTAACTCCTTCAGATATGGGAATCCACATCTAGATTTAATCAATATGTACTGCACATATGCTCTTCCATATGGAAGAATTTGTAAAGACAATGTCCAGCTCTGAACATTGCTAAATTACAGTTGTTAAAATAATCACTTTTACAGCAGAGCAATCCTGCAAGATTTTAGTAGACATCTGAGAAATCTACATTGGGAATTCAAACTTCCCAAATTAAAAACATGTGATGGTAAAATCAGAATCAGAGTGAGAAGAAACCATATGGGCCATCCTGTCCAATTATGTGGGTGGGAGGCTTTCTGCATCTTCTGGATATACAAGAAGTTTGTTTGGTCCTGCTTTTCATGGGGATGGACCTTGTCAAGAATACTTAACAAGAAATGAAGACTCCAGTTCTTCCAATGCATGCAGGGAATCCCATTTCATTCTGTACAAGTCTGGGTAATTCAAGATAGGGGTGCATTGCATGGCTGTAGTTCTGCACACTGCCATTGTTGTGTGCCTTCAAGCCATTTCCAATTTATGACGACCCTAAAAAAATCTATCACAAGGTTCATTTGACAGAATTTGTTCAGATGGCATTTGCCTATACCTTCTTCTGAGGCTGAAAGAATATGACCTGCACATAGACTATTTACATCATTGAACTTTGTGGGATTGCAGCCAAATTGTATGTAAGATTGTAAAAATGCTGCATACATTCAACATATGAGTAAATAGAAATTTGTTTTATGCTAAGGGGAATGGCATTGCTTTGATTTGTATAATACTGAACCCTTAAATCTGGCTATTTGTTTCAATATAAGTTAAACTCAGCCATCACATTTAGCTGAATGTAACAACAAAATAGATTTTTGAATCTTTGTCTGGAGAACTATGTGACTGAATCTGAGGTAAGATGTTTTCTAAATTTATGGCATGCGTTGTACTAATCTCTCCCACTTACATAACTTACTCTTCATTTCTTGCTAAAGCCACTTTGGATTTCTGCATAAGAGCCTGTATGTCATTCCTTTTCTCTTCTATTTCATGGGTCATCACTGTTCTCTTCCTCATGCCTTTGACTTCATTTTGCAAAGTCTTCATGGGAGAAAAATGAATAAGCAGGAAGACATTTCAGCAAGTGGGAAGGATAAGAGCTATGAATTTTAGAACTACCAGATATTGTGTGCCCACAATTTGTCATTTACTGACATTGGATTGTGAATACTACTATTGCTATTTGTGTGTATATTTGTATTATATTGAGGCTTCGAATTGTGGCCAATTTGTAAGCTGCCCTGAGTCCCCACTTGGGGGTTGAGAAGGGCGGGATAGAAATATTGGAAATAAATTCATCATTCAATATTTGAAGTCACACCTCTGAAAAGTAGTGCGTTCATGTTGGATTGTGCATGGGGTCCTTGAACAATTATGACACATCTACAATCAAGTGTACACACACACACACATCATTATACCAACACATGAACACAATTGTGATGAGCACAATATTTTTAACAGGATCTGAATGTACTACAGAGGTAGATATCTGAAGGATATATATATATATATATATATATATATATATATATATATATATATATAGATTAATAAAATAGCCTTGCTAGACAATCTGAGTCTAACATGAATGATCTCCTACGCATAAACAGACCAGATATCAGCATGCTGCAGAATGAGGCAATAGAGTGATCTATACCATTGCAGACTCTGATTTTGAATGCTCTCCTGAGTAATTAACTTGGTGTGTAGTTTTTATCTTTGTCTTCCTTTTACATGAGTGTGTCCATGTTTCTTAGAGGTCTTATGTGGAAAAAAAATTCTCAGTGTATTGTCAGATTTACCCAATTTACACTTCCCAAGTTTCTGTTATAGTTTGGGTTTTTTAAGTGCAATAAAATGCCTTGGGGCAATGCATATATTTATAAAGTGTGTATGAGTGGAAATACACATACACACACAGAGTTCAGTGACTGATCACTTGGGGAAAACATACTTGAAATATATACAAAAAACACACATTTCAAAAATAAAAATGAATATTTTTTAAAGAATACGCATAAAATGAATGCAAAATGTTAAAAATTAATCATCTTGATGTTTTTCCCTCCTGAAATTTCAACCAGAATAATCTAATCTACTCCCTCAGATTGTACAATTTAATGATGGATATGAGAAAAAAACGAGTAAGGAATGCCAGATCAAACCTTAGAAATAAGAGATATCAAAGTGCTGTGCTGTTTAAAAGATATGCTAGTTACTATGGGGAATATTTATAGACATAAGAGTCTGAGTTCTATGAGACCATTAAAAAACCACCCATTACAACTGGTGCGATCCAGATGTTGTCTTAACATTCCCCAATGGTGGAATGCTGAACTGTACAGTCAATACTATCTGGAGGGCCTCTGCATTTGTATCCTCACTTTACAAGAGAGGAGCTTTCACTGAAGAACTTGGCAAAATGTTAGATTTGACATACACTGGAAACAAAAATTACATTACTCTGTATTGCACTGTAGGCAGAGACTCCAGCAGGATCACCATATAGAGCTCATATTCATTCTGTAAAGTAGAATTGAGAATGTTACAGAAATGTCATTCAGATAATTTAAAGCACAGTGGGCTGAGGGTTAAATATTTGCTCTCAGTGCTTGCTGTAGGCTGCACCATGCCCAAGAGAAGAAGCAAAAAGGTGAAGAAACCCATAAAACTGGTTGCTTCTAGGGCACTTTTACTCAACCCAATTATAGTGCTTTAACAACAAGGACATTAAGATCTTCCGGAGAGGCCCTGTTCTCAGTCCCACCACCTTCGCAAGCGCGCTTGGTGGGGACAAGAGACAGGACCTTTGCTGTGGTGGCCCCCTGGCTATGGAACTCTCTCCTGAGCGAGATTAAAACTGCCCCCTCCCTCTTGTCCTTCAGGAGACTAGAGAAATCCTGTTTATGGAATGAAGCATTCCCAGAATTAATGGCTGAGACTGAATACAGATCAAAGTGAGTGACCACATATGCGGACTGAGTTGAACATGGTTTTACCTTGGCGATTTGGTATATTATGTATTTTATCTATATGTATTTTAATCTTGTATTGTTGCATGATGTTTTAACTTGTATTAGTAGCATTGAATCCTTGCTGTAAGCTGGTCTGAGTCCCTCTACGGAAGTGAGAAGATCAGTATATAAAAGTTTTAAATAAATAAATTTAATTGCACTCTAACTTCTATGAAATACTAGGTTATGTAGTATTGATGAAGATCTAGAACTCTCAGGCTGATAAGATTGGCCCTCCATATCCATGGATTCTGCATCCACAGAATCAACTCAAAAAAGCAACATTTGATTTCCAATTGTATATAAGTGACACATTTTTAGTTATTACATAAATAAGAGGCCTTGAGTTAGCATCAATCCAGGGGGAGTCCAGAAACCAAACCCCAGTTGACACAAAGGGCCCCTGTAGTTCTAAATTCCTATCTAAATGGCAAATTCCAGAATTCAATAGGATACAACCACAACAGTTAAAGGGGAAATCACATTGCAGTAATTGTCCAGGATGCGTCTGGGAATAACAAAAAACATTTTTTTTAAATCTGCCATAGAACAATGGCTAATGAAGATTGCAGATATTATGAACATGGACAAATTAACCCAATTGCTGAGTTTACAGCAGAATTTGAAAATACCAAAAACAGACTGGTCACCAGTAAAGAATTTTATAACTCACGAAAACCTAAAATGGATAATAGATATAAGATGAACACTAAAACAGAATGCTCTTAAGGAAACCATCAGGAAAGCGTCAGCCAATCAAGCGAGAGAGACCTTGAAGAACCAAAAATATTAATAACCGTAGGGAAGAAGATGGGAAGTCAGAACACACAACCTATTTTACCAACCCCCCTCTCCCCCACTCCACCTTCCGATCCCCCTTCCCACCCATACCCCGCTTCCAATAAACCTTTTCCACCCTTTCAACCCTTTCCTATCCTCCTCACCACCTCCTTTTTTCACCTATTGTATAACCAAAAACCTAATAAAAGCTATTTGAAAAAAATCTGGATTTTTTTCTCTATACTGGGGCTACCTGAGACATGCATTGCAAAAAGACCAACCAACTAACCAACCAACCAACCAAAAAAAACAAAACAAGCAAAAGATCTGCCCACTTTAGTGGCCATCCTTTGTTTCCAGATTATCAGCAGTAGGGATGTCCCGTTTCTCTTTGCTTTTGTGTTTAAGGCTCTCCGTTAAATGCAACTGAATCAGTAAGAAGCACCTGATAAACTGTGATTAAATTAACCAGATTCCAACATAATTTTACAGCTGTCAACTACTTAAGGACTGTGCATTTCATTAATTATCTCATTTTTATTTAATTAACTGGCCAACTAATCCCATGATGCAGAAACTTGTGTAGAGAAGCAAGTAATGCTGTGTCCAATGAAACATAATTCCCATAAGAAATTACAGCCTCCCTTGTATAAATGTTTGCATAGATGTTGCATAGGTGAAAGCCTCATGTGAAATGTTTCATGTAACTGTGTATATATCTATGCATGTATCCTGATTGATAGGAATGAAAAAAGCACACTGATGTCAAAGTGCCCAGTATAACAAATAGCTTGCAGTTGTTATATATATTCAGTTAGATTTGGAGGGATAGAGAAGGCAGGAATACTCCATCATGCCTCGGTCCAGAAGCAGATGATAGTCCTCCTTTGATCTCCACTGCCATTGCCCTGGGTCCAGAGGAAGAGAAGAAGAGCTAACCACAGCTCCATCATACTGAAGCCCAGAAGCACATGAAAAGCTTTCTGTCCATCCCAAATACAAATGACCTGATCTTGGAGGGAGAAAGTGAGAAAGGCTGACACAGCTCTATCATGTGTAGACCCAGTAATAAATAGGGGGCTTTCTTCATCACAACTGCCACTGCCTTGACTTAATTTCCCCCCATACTAACATTCTCCTTTCCTTCTGTGTTGTGATTAGATTGTAGAAGTAGGGCCAGGGAACTGTTTTGTTGTTTCTTACCATACTTATAAAGTACTATGTACAATGATGGCACTGTATAAATGAATGATAATAATTCAAGTCAACTCCAGTAGTGAAAAAAATAAATCATATGATTGATGTAGGAAAAATGGAACAATGTTCATGCTCAGTCTTCTCCTCCTCTTCCTACTCCTTTCATATGCAAATCCTGAGACCACACATAGGAAGAGCTAGCAGCTAGCATCCTGAATAGCATCCTGTCCATGGCTAGCCCAGAGGATATCTGAAAGCAAGGACATATTTTTCTACAGTTGCAGACTCACATAGGAACTCAAATACTGCATGACCAAGGTTCAGATTCTGCCTGCCTAGTGTTGAGTACTCCTCTTCTGAGGAGGAGGTGGTAAAACAGGAGGCTGAAGATGAAGAAGTTTGAGATTTGGAGCCAAGTGTTGAGGAGGAAAACATACTGCCAGTTTCTACCTTTCAGGGATGCTGAAGGGTAAAGGAAGAAAGAAGAAAGTCAGCTAGCATTGCTACAAGGATGCTGAGCAATCAGACCTTGCCCTAGGAACACCTGTGCTAGTAGCTGAGGGCTATAAATCAGCACTAACGCAAGTGGTCAGTCCTGGCAGCAACCATTCTACTCAGTGCTTCTGTGCTCCGGTTTCCTTGCTTGCAGCTCCAGCAAGTGCCTCACAAAGACTTTTTGACAAAGAACCTGGTTTTATGTCTGATGTAAGACATTTGCTTTGCTTTTGGGATTTTCCTTCTGTTCCTTTGCTGCTGTTTGTTAGAGTATTATCATTTTGCTGAAGTAAATCTTTTTTAGTTGCTTTAACCCTTGTTGTAAGACTGTTTCTGGGGCAAAACAGGACACCTTGGCAGCTGCAATAATTTTGGAATTTTTAAAACATAGTAATAACTAATGTCCTTCCGTTGGGTAAGACTTCTAGTCATGTCTGAGTGCAGAGAATGGGCCATTTTATGAAGCATAGTTTTTGTGAATGCTCTTTTTCAGTCAGTATATTATTACAGAAAGGTTGTCTTAAGTTACATAGAGCCATGAAATTATCTGAAGACAAATGAAAACTTAAATGGTAGTGCAGGTACATGGTACACTACATTAATCATACAAACAACACATACTTTCACTTCCTTCAATACATCACCAAATATCAAAGAGTTGTTGCAGATATCTTCAAACACATCACTAACAGCCTGCAAATGGTAAAAATGTGGACGATTGCAGTCGCAGATATACTGGAGTGCCTGAAAATAAATCAAAATCCTTCTCAAAAGATTTATTCCAATTTAATAACTTCAAATGTGAGATGTTATGCCAGTAATGGCACTACCTTTCTGAGGTGGTAGAATTGTATGCATTGGTGAAGCAAACGGTAATGCTGATGGAAGCAGTACAAATCAGTGGGCCCTAGAGCAAATAAAGCCTGAACTCTCTCTAGAAGCCAAGATGACTAAACTGAGACTGTCATACTTAGGGCATATCATGAGAATGTATGACTTTCAAAAAAAAAAAAGATAGCCATGCTTTGTAAGACAGAAGCCAGTTGGGAAAAGGAAGATAACAATTCTTAGCCATTCTTGTAAGCTGCTCCGAGCCCCAGGGGAGTGGCGGCATATAAGTTCAAATAATAAATAATTAAAAAAATAAAACGTTGCAGATGGATAGACTCAATCAATTTCTGAGTCTGCATGCCTGGGCATGACTGCTGATGACAAGGTGACCTGGAGGTTTCTCATTCATAGAGTTTCCATTAGTCAAAGTCAATCTGACAGAAGTTCATAGTACCTAGTATGCATAATTTATTGAGGTTTCAGCAGTGATCCCTCCCCCAACATTTCATTTTTCAAGGGTTTCCATTTTAAGGGGAGCATGTCTAAACTGTTTGCCCATCCACCAGCTTGTTTATTTACCTGTGCCAACCTCCTTTCATGGTGCTCTGCTGACTTGCTTCCTATATAGTCATTCTCAAGCAAATCCTGTTTGACAATAAAATCCTTCTGAACTTGCATGAACTTGTGGAACTGGTCCGTTTTGGTTACGCCAGCCAAGTAGGAAGGAAAGAATTGGTATTCATCTTTACTCTCTCTTGTGACACAAAGCCGACTGTTCCTTGTTGGTCGGTATTTGAGCATTTTCATCTCTGGAATATCTAGCTCTTCTCTTATTAGTTGTCTCTCAAATATATCAGCTTCCTCCTTTGTTTCTTCTTCATTCTCTTTTCTTTGCCATGTGAAAGCAGTAGCACCAAGCGAAATACGGGCTGGGGCTACTGAGTTGGCAGTGGATGCCTGAGATTGCTGACATGAAAATAAAGCAGATTTGGCCCGGGTGGCAACTGGTGTATTTCCCTTCCTAGATGCCTTCCTAGATGCATCACTGGGTGCTGTAAATTGGGGTCTTCTCTGGAAAATTGAGGCAGATTTTTGGGCACTTTTCCAATAGTTGTGTTTTATCCATTCTTGGGGCTTGAAAAGCTTGTTGTGATTTAAGTGACCTGAGGTGTAAAGCTGAATGTCGGCTTTGTGAGCCTTTTCCACTCCATCTAAAATGTTTGTGAGGTTGTAATTTTGCTTCTTTTCTGCCATGTAGGATGTTATTTCCTGTGATAAAAAAGAGTTTGCAAGAACTGAGCAGGCCTGCTGATGACTGAGATTCTCGGTAGTCTCTTATTCATAGGACCACAATAAACCCAAGGTGAGTTGGTGGCAATTAGCAAAACATCTCAGTAAAAGTATGCAATCAGTTAAAATCTAATTGAATTATCAATAGAATTAAGAGCAATTTAAAACACATTGACAATCTTATTGTTTGTCTTGACTAGAAGAGAAATGTTGAATCAACTGGATTTACCAATATCTTGACTCACAGTTCAACCCTTGATTTGGTGGGTGTACTCAAGTTGAAATTATTTGTGGAAATGTATGCATGTTGAACTGATCAACAGTCAGAAATAAAAATAATGTTAACTGCATTTTTTTTTAAAAAAAAATTGTGGTTAACTTCATTCTTCTAGGATCCTAGACAAACTAGAGAAGTGATGTTTGTTTGTCTTAATCAGTTCCCCACATATCTATGTCTGTCCGTGTTTTATACGTTTGTGTGGTGTATACTAACATTTAGAATTTGAGTAGTGATTTATGAACAAATGTGGACACTTGCTATAATCCCAAGCAAATCTGGTACAGCTGGGCCTCTGTATCCACAGATTTAACCAACCACAGTTCAAAAATATTCCTCCCAAAAACTTCCCCAAAACAAACTTCAGTTTTGCCATTTTATACTGTATAAGAGATGCCATGTGTCTACATGCTATTGTACATAATGGGGCCTGAGCGCCCATGAGTTTTGGTATCCAGGGGTTGGGATTCAGAAGCCAAACCCCAGTGGATAACAAGGGCCCATTGTATCTCACCATTCCACTTTCTGTCCTGAGACTGGAGATCAGCAGAGAGCACTACACAAGCCCTTCGGAACAATGGTCAGTGGACTTCTCTTGTTCATGTTCTGCCCCATGCATAGCAAGAAGGGCTAACCTGAGATGACAAATAGGCAAACCATCACTCTTTGAAGAGAGCATTTCAACACACATTATAGTAACCACAACACATATTTCGAACTGGGGAATATTCTTTGATAGTGGGACCCTTAAATAACACAAGGAAAAGCTATAGGTGCTATTTGGAGGCTAGTGATCAGAAATTTAAGTCTCTCAATCTTCTGTACTTATATTTGATGGAGGTGGATGTGTGTTAAATACATGTTATTCATCATAAACCTATGGCATCTGATGAAATGTCAGTTCAGTCTAAATATTTGAACACACAATTTCAAATATCCCATCTAATCAGTGTTTTGAACTGAAATAATATTTTAGACTTGAAATGTCTTGGCTATGATTCTTTTTCAGTCACATGGGCTTGATTGTAAGAGTTTCTGATTATAGACCTGTGGCCACAAAATTGTGACAGAAACACTAATCAATTGATATAATTTCTTACAAGTTAGATCATTTTGAACTACTTCAGGGTCATCACAAATAGCAGGAGGTGGGTGACTGAAGCCCAGGCTTTTGTCACAGAACTGCAACTCCTATCACTTGATAATCATTCATGAAGAATGTTAGGAGATGCATTTCAGGACACCTGAACAGTCATTTCTGTTCATTATTTTTACACATCTGTAGGACCACATTTTCCACACTAATAATAATGGGGTCTGTTTATGGGACAAGCAAAGCAAAAAAGAGGCCACAATTTCTACTTTCCAGCCCTTCATCAGATCAGAAGTTTCTAACTTCTTCTACTCCAGATATTTTGGTCTTCAACTCTGACAAACCCTATCCACCTTAACCAACTGTGAGGAATTTATGAGTTGAAGTCCAAAACTACTGGAGTATCAAAGAAGAGGATCCACTATTATAGGAAGTTAAATGGAGAACTGACCTCACTAAATGATAAGGCAATCAAACTTGGATCTCTCAATATAACACAGCACACCTGATCTGCAAGTCATGCTCCAACCAGCTTGTTACATCTGCATTTCAATGACCATCTGTTGATCAAACTTTTGAAGAATGAGGGTGGAAAGTGAAAAAACAACATATGGTTAGCTTGTATACTTCCCACCTTTTGTCAGCCCTGGGATTCAGGGCAGTTTACAAAGTTAAAGCAAGTAAAGATAAAATTTCCAATCATTAAGACATATGATAAAGCTTTAAATAGAATTCAAAGGTATTTCAGAGCATATCACTAAAAAGAACAAATGCTGACATGATATTATTAAAAACCCTTTCCCCAAGAGCATTTAATCCTTAAAGTCCTGTCAAAACAGAAAGGTCTTTGCCTGCTTTTGGAAGGACACCATGGAAGATATGTGTTTAAACTCTCCATAGTTGGGGTCCCAGAGACTTGGAACATCCACCTAGAAGATTCTTTACCATATCCCCACCAGTTGTACCAGTGAGGATGGTAGGAGAGAGAGAGACGGACCTTTCATATAGATCACAAGACCTTGATGAGCATACATGGGGGAAAGTATACATAGCCAATCTTCTATTCCAGGTTGCTTCAGAAGTTGTACTAGAACTTCCATCATCATTGGTCAGTTGCCATGCTGTCTGAATTTGATAGGAATTGGAGCCAGACATTATATGGGTCTCAAGTTGCACACACTATAGTTACTCCCTCAAGAGCTTATGTTGCTGTGGCTAGACATATTTCCTCACAAAGATAAGGGCACACATATATTTAAAACATCTCCCCAAGACAGTTGAATTTCTCCTTCTTTCATGTTAAATTAACCAATCCAATTAAAATAACACACCCTTATGTCAATTTAAGCTTCAAGTAAGATTGGTGAACCCTTTTGCTCAATATTACTTTCACACTGTTGACAAATTCAAATGACTCTTCCTACACTATGGAACACCACTCTATGCCAACAGAAAGACATGCATGCCTCCACCCCACACAGCAAATAAAGTGACAAATCTATAACTGCAAAGCAGAGATGCCTTTTACCTGGATCTTTACTTACATTTCCCAAGTTCCACATAGTTTCCAGCATGACTGTGACTTTTATGCTGGTTCGTTTCTAAGGAAACCAATCAAACATTCCAAGTTCTGTTTAGACTCTGCAGCTCTTAAGCAACAATGTATGACTGAGCAGGGCTGATCAGAAGCAATTATCTTCTTTTTCTTGGCATGAGATTTTGTTTTCCTGTGCAGCAGAAGATATTCTCTCTCACATACACACACAGAGACCTTTCTCTATTCTATTTGTTAGATCAACTGGTGGAAGATTCCAACCTCATCAGAAGGGGTCCTTTTCAGTGGCATGTGCCAGTTCATCTTTACTTTTGTGACTGAGTCTGCCAGCTCCTATCCCATGATAAATAATAATAATAATAATAATAATAATAATAATAATAATAATAATAATAATAATCTTTATTTATACCCTGCCACCATCTCCCCAATGGGGACTCGGGGCGGCTTACATGAGGCCAAGCCCAAACAACAAATTACAACAAAATAAAACCAAAACACAATAACAACACAGTAAGATACATACAGCATATGAGTACAAAGATGATAAAGCAAAATCATACACAGTAAAATAAAAATAACAATGAGCAGGCCGCATGTGCAAGATAAAAACTAAGACCTAAAAATACAAAAATCAGGATGAGATAGGGATGGAGCAGATTGTTTGTGGGGGAGAAACTCATAAAGGAACAGGGTCATAAATATAGACCTTCATACAGGTGGGAAAATATACTCTGGGGACAAAAACCGTTGAGGGGGAGCAACTGTGTATGATAATATGACTACTCTCCAAAAGCGCATCGGAAAAACCCTCTTGAAAATTTCTAAGGTGGGGGCCTTCCTAATCTCACCGGGCAATGAGTTCCAGAGTCGGGGGGCCACAGAAGAGAAGCTACTTCTGGCAGGGCTTCATCACAAAAGTAAGCTTCCCTTGTATTGTATCAATGGGAGGAAGATAGGTGGCAGATGTTTCCCCCATGGGATGGGGCAACAGGTAAGTCATGCAATGTGGGTCATGGGGTGGCAGGTTCCCCATGCCCCTCAATGGACACCGCTGGATTTGCCATGATGGCCCATCTGATGAGGTTGTGTATCTATTGTTAGTCCAACTCCATGGGACTTGCTGAAATCTTGCCTTTTGTAATCTCCTATTGATTCTATTTGTTAGTGACTATAACTGTGGGATTCAGCCCTAATTCAAACAACACTCTGGTACTGGAAAGCCTTTCTAAGGTTACATCTAAATTGTAGAATGAATGCACTTTGATGCCACTTTAACTATCATGGCTCAATGCTATGAAATCACGGGAGATGTAGTTTACAAGGTCTTTAGTCGTCTTTGCCTTCCCAAACTAAAAATTCCAGGGTTCCATTGCATTGAGCCATTTCAGTTGAAGTGATGTCAAACTGCATTAAATCTACAGTAAAGATATGCCCCAACTACATTTGACTACATTAAAAAGTAGTGGGCAAGGTCAAATTGTGATGAATATGTCAAATTAAGCTGCAGTTACTTTTGGAGTGAGGCAAGGAGGATGAAGTGGTGTATGACTTCAAACAGATCCTGAAAGAATGTGATCCAAAGCTAAGCAAGGTCAGTTCTGCTAGTACTTAGATGGAAAACTGCCAAATAATACTAGGTGCTGTAGTCTATATTTCAGAGGAAGGAACTGAGTATTCCTTGCCTAAGAAAACCCTATGAAAGTCATGAGTTCCAAAACTAGCCAATAAATTTAGAGATAATTTTGTCATTAAGAGATCTTCCTTGTTGGTCTAGATCTGTATTTATTTTCCTTCCTTTTATCTCATACCTGCTTGCCTTTCACAATACCTGCTTGCCTTTCACATGATTAGAGGCAGGCTGCTGGAGATGACGTGAGATAGAAATGGATGGGCAGTTTTTAAGTGAATGTTTAAAAGTATTTTAATATTTATATATTACATCTCAAAAAATCATTTTAATTTTATATTCATATTTTAATGTGTTTTTCCTGCTTTGTTTTCTTCCATGTTTGCTCCTTTCTATAAGGAGAAAGGTAGGGTAAAAATAAAGTAAGTAAAATAATGGCAATAAAATACAATAATAATAATAATAATAATAATAATAATAATATACATGTAATCATGATTGAATACCCCCCCCCCCAGGAATGCATTAAAACTGCAAACAAAACATGTGGTGATGTGTCTTATCCAAGATATAACTTTTCATACAGTGGCCATGAAGACAAAATTATTTCTCACTTAGTGGACCCATTTAACATGATAGTGTTATGGCTTTAGTGTTATGGCTTCTAAGTTGTGCAACCACACAGGCAGATGGGAGTACGAGAATGAACCAATCCAAGAGCAGGAGGTGCGGCCTGGGGGCAAATCTGAGAAGAGTTGTTCTCTCTTATATTCAGATCACAGAGACAATCCACAAGACTGGATCATATTCTCTTACCATTCTCCTGGGGAAATCAGCATAAAGACTGGAAGATGTGAAACAGTCAGCAGGATATAGATACAAAACCTCAAACTCTGCAGGGTGAAAGTTTATGGGCATTTATAACTCAGTGACAGAAACAATCAGCTTTGAATACTTTAAGTTACTACCCTTACTCTGGCACTTTTATATGGGTGTTGGTATTCTTTCTCTCACTCCACATTCCATCGTAGAGCTAAGTATAATTTCTCATTCGTTGATTTTACAGAATTACAGAGTTGGAAGACACCACAAGGGCCAAGAAGTTTAACCCTCTGCCACACTCCTATGTGAAAGAACTCCTGTCAGAGGGCTTTCCTGGCTATGTTTATAAACATTCAGTGAAGGAGGCTCCATCACAATCCAAGGCAACATACTCCAGGGCAGAACAGCTCTTACCATCAGAAAGTGATTCTTTATGTTATGCGGAATCTCAGGCACAATTACAACCTATTTCTATAGGTTATTATTTTTATCTCATTGTATTATTGCAATGGGGCAAAAAATGTTGAGGTGATTAACAGCTCAAAATTGTAATCTACAGTTTAAGAGAATGTTGAACTTTCCCTTTCACTCTGGAGGTAGTTCTAGATCAAGCAAATACTACTCTTGTTTGCTTTCTTACTTGAAAGTTTCAGCCTAGGAGTCTCAGCTGATCTGAATGTAGTCATTCTTTTTTTGCTTCCTGTCCTGGATGCTATGATTCAAGTCTCAGCTCTGAAAAAAGCTCTTCCCATTCCCGAAGGGTTCCCCCCCCCCCACCCACCCCCACCCCTGCGGTGGTCTGTTACTCTTGCTGCAAAATTTGCTAGTTGTTTTGAGTACGTCTAACATAACAAAGCAGCTTCTTTTCATAGAAACCATGATCCAGCTACGTGGTGGTTTTGGAAAGCCTGACATCTGGTCACTGAAGCCAAAACACATTTACACTAAATAAAATGAATACATATTTAAAGCAACCATCAGAATTGTGAACTGGAAAATGTTTACATTTTGTACTCTTGAGGGTGGTTGCTTTGTCAGGAGCAACCTGAGAAACTGCAAGTCTCTACTGGTGTGAGAGAATTGGCCATCTGCAAGGATGTTGCCCAGGGGACACCCAGATGTTTTACCATTCTTGCGGGATGCTTCTCTCATGTCCCTGCATGGGAAGCAGGAGCTGACAGAGGGAGCTCATCCGCGCTATCCCTTGAGCTAAAGGGATAATTTAGGAGATGAACCTCTAAACAGCTATCATATTTCTCATTTTTAAGGTGAAGTCAACAACTCAGTTTTCTAAAGGAAGTGTTATTCTTGAAGAATTCAGTAGCAAAAGTATAAATAGTTTTGGAAAAGATTTCAAATGTTGATTAAATGGGCGAATGGTTAAGGACACACAGATGAGTGGGAAGTGAACTTGGGGGCCTGCAGACAAGTAAATGCATTAAGAGATTGTGATGTTCTGTTCCTTCGGAAGAAATACTATTATTTTGAACCCACTGGTACCTAATGGTACCCCAGGGAAAGATATTCCATGGCCAGAGTGCCTCAGGAGACATGGCCTTTTCCCATACTCTGGCAGTGTTTTGTTCCCCAAAACTGAAAATAAAGGAGGGGAGGCCAACAAATGGCCCTTGCTACTGTAAAATTAGATCCAGATCTTAAACATCTCTTTCCAGTTACAAATAAAATGATACTTAGGATTAGAGTTATGAATTTCTGCTTTTCACTACACCAAACTATTTGTATGGAAGCACTGAAACACATATGGACAAAAACACACACACAACCCACTCAGAAACAGTACCAAAAATAAACACAAAATATTTTTTTTATAAAAAAACCTCTGTATTCTGCAATATTCACAATGTTTGTATATACATATATGTATGTATAATTCAATTAAAATTATGAGTAGTTCTAAATATATTATGTATCATACATATATTTATATGTATAATCACATATCCACAGAAGATGTTTTGCTGTACTACAGCCAGCTGTTAAAGCAGAAACTGATTTTCCAATAGGACCCGCAGATAGGCATATGTTCTGACTGTTTGGTTTTGCAAATTTATTTACAACATACCTAGATCATAATAAATGATTACATGTCCTATTGTACAAACAGAAGAGTAAAGATCTGGGTCTTTTTTTTAAAATACAAAGACTGCAAACATATCATGTACAATATTTATAATTTATAAATGTAGAGTTAAGACCCTTTTAAATTATTGCACTTGCAGTATTTCTTTGTACAAAGAGAGCTTTCTCGACATCGGCTATATATAAAATGTTTCCTCTCCCCCCCCCCCCCAGCCCCTTAGATATACTAACCCTGGATCGTGTTACTTTGGAGTTGCCTCTTTCCCAAACAACCTACGAGAATGTGGATATACATGGATGAAAACTACAGATCAGTTACATTACTTATGTTTTGAGGGCACGATGGAGTAAATACTCATATTACAACTGAGCACAGTTTTTGGTCAGCAAACAAAATATTTAAAAGAAAATTAGTGTAATGTGTCTTCTTAATATGGAATAAAAGCACTATAATCTGAAGTTCCTAATAAGAATTAACCTCTTGTCTGTGTATCAAAAGCGCCTGCCTTACAAGTGGAACAATATGGAGCCTACACCACAATATGTTTGTATTTCCTCAATGATCTGGAACTCCACAAACAATTACAAGTCTTCTATGCTTTTATGTAGTGTTATCAATGACTGAGTAGTTGAGTCAAGACATGTTAACACTACCCATACCATATAAATGCTTCTGTCTAATCCAAACAAAAAGGTACCAGTGTGCCACTTAGTGCTTTGCTGCATGTCTTGTGAATTTGTACCTTTTAAAATGTGTTCCCTGATTTTAAAAAAGAAATACTAGTGTTGTACTCTTTCATCCTCTCCACGCATTTAAAAATGATCTTCTTTAGAGCAGTGCCATCACCATGGACCAAAGTGTCCACTCTGACAGTTGGCTTTGTTTTCCAACCTGTTCACAGGTTACTTGGTTTCTTAGCTTCTGACTATGATGAACAAAGTTCTTTCCACACACAAATCACCTCTCCTTTTTCCTCAAAATTGTTTGGTATGCGTCTGGTTACACCATAAAGTTCCGCATTGCATCACAGGCTCTCTCCCATTCAATTGTTCATTTCTATCTACAATGTGCGATACAGCCAATGAATGAGGAAGTATTCAAGCTTGAGGCTCACTTTTCAGATTTCTGCCTAGGACTAAGTAATAAGTTAATCAATATATTTCTTTTTCTTTTTCTTTAAATATGTTATTCTGAAAAAGAAGTGACTACTGAAATACACTTGAACAGACATTCCTTTTGTTGTTATTGGTAGTAAAAGCTTGCAGTTAAGTACAACTTTTCCAGAATATTTTCAAATAAAATTTGAAGAAACAATTGCTATACTTCTATTGTAATTTTCTATTTTTGTTCACAGAAATGCTTGTAAATATGTGTGTGTGTGTGTGTGTTTCCTTTTGCATGCTGCCACTTTTTAAAAGGTCTAATTATATCCCCAAAGCACTTCTGGATAGAAATATTTATGACAAAAGCTGCTTTTCTGGTTACTGTGTCACTCATTTTGATTTTCAGCTTTTTGGGAACCAAGACATTATACAATTAGTAGCATTTGTGACTTGAATTCTCCCCCCCTCCCCCCCAATAACCTCTATAACATATTAGAAACTAAACACTGTGTGTTGGTAACAGTTTAAATTCGGACAATAACTTTTATGAGCAAAACATGTCTGCTTATATCAAAATCCCAGGAGTGAGGTTATGTATCACTTGTATGTATATAGGAAACATATAGGTAGCATAAAATGTTAACAAGACAATGAAATGGATACAGTCTACCTTATCCCAGTAGTGCAGTGGTTGTCAACCTGGGGTCCCCAGATGTTTTTGGACTTCAACTCCCAGAAATCCTAACAGCTGGTAAATTGGCTGGGATTTCTGGGAGTTGTAGGCCAAAAACATCTAGGGACCCCAGATTGACAACCACTGCAGTAGTGGCAGGTGACTCCTATGTCAATTGGGTGGTGAGCCTGCAGAGGATTTTATTCTGAGCTTTCAAGAAAGTACCCAATGTGTTGAAGCTAATTTGGAGATATTTTTCTGAACTTTGGATAGCTCTTTTCAAGTTCTGACTGAAAACTGGATAAGATGTGTCATTCTGAGGAGTCATCAATCACAATGCTTGCTTCTGGAAATATTTTATATTGTTATTCAATCATGAGTAGTAACTAGGGTTGTGCGTGGATTTCATTTCCTCTGTTTCCATTGGTATCTTTGGTACTTCGGGAGCTGATAATGGTAAGGACCCTCCTGGCACGAAAACCTGCCTGACACAAAAGCAAGCAGGAGCTGATCTCAGCTCCTCTTCCCCTATTTGGCATCACAATTGAATCTTTTTTATTTTCCTTTATTTTCCTGATTCTTTTTATTTAGTCTGACTGACTGGGTGTTGGGGACCTGAGTACATTTGGGGGCTTTCACCCTTTTAGCTTCTTTTTCTTCTTCCCTTCCTCTACTTCAGGAAATACTTCTAAAATATTATTATTAGTAATAGTAATCCCAGAAAACAAAGAGAAGCCTACCTCAGAAAACTCTTACTGCTTCTTCATACTATCAATGACAGCAAAAAGAATCAATCTTGCTAATCATCAAGAGGCAGGCTGAAATAATTTAATGTTTGATGCAATCAATTGTGATATGAGTTCAATCCATTAACTGTAACAATACTTTAAATTAGGCCAAACTCACTTGTAGAATGAGTGTTGAGATTCTGACTATATATGACAACATCCATACAGGATGATAAAATACATAGCCATCGAGATCTAGACCAAAGGGAAATACTTCCATTTATGTCACTGTCACCTTAGACTAAACAAGCCCTCCAGAAATATATAAAAATTATAATTTCTGGAATTCCAGTTTCACTAGCTCTGCCATTTTTCTCAGTGTATATATACATGACAGAGGAATGCTTTGGATTAATTAGGCATGCCACCTCCTTTTTTCTTACAACTGGGTAGTTATCCATGTAAACCTAATCAAAACATATTTGAAATAGTTGTTTCTTTAATACTTAACTTGGTTCTGTTGGGCATAATGGTCACATGAGAAATAGTAAGATGACGTGATAAAGAATGATTAGGGCAATGCTAACTGGATCATTTCAAGGACCCAGGTCTTTAAAAAAAGACCCAACAGAGCACATATCTAAACATATAATATATATTTATGGAAAAGGCTCAATGATATCATTGTATATATTTCTTACCAGACCATAGACATTGATGTACAATCATGTAACAATATGTCTTAAACTATAATCTAAGGCAAAACTCTCTGAGGAATTGGTCAGTAAAATGTTTTCTTTTAGACAAGGGTTAAAATGATGAGATAATATGATCATGTGATCTTATGAACAATGTACCAACCATATGGCCTATTTAGTATATTGAAGAAGATAAGAGAGTAGTCAATTAAAAACAGATGATTGAACCAAATCTATTATAGGCTAGACATGTGTTTGTGTGTGAGAGTACAAAGAGCTGCTTGCTCTACATGGAAGATGGACTGATTTGAATGCTCTTTCAATAATAGAACTTTCATGCCCATGATTGATCTTTTATAGCAACAATATCAAAAGGTAATTCTGGGAAGTCAAGCATTTGGATCTACTGGCAAAAATAATCTTGGTGTGCTAGTCATTTTCAGAGTTCACAAATTATCTGGCAGATGTCATCCAGCATATATTATCATACTCATGACTTGAATACCAGAATACACCACGGTGCTTCCTAAGCTTTGGTCCTCCAGGTGTTTTGGACTTCAGAATTACTAACTATTGACCAAATTGGCTGGGGCTTCTGGGAGCAGAAGTCCAGTACCAGAGGACAAATGTTTGGAAAATTCTAGAGAGTACTAAGTAACAAGAAAAGCAGTTTTACACCCCAAGTAACAAGAAAACCTGGCATTTACATCCATGTAACAATGCTTCCCATTGCTTGCTCACAACTCCTCCCAAAATTCAGCATCTATGTGAATTGGTGGGTCATAACGATGTTGTGATTAAGTGCATAGCCATCGCACTTAACCACAACATGTGTTGAACATAATGTTGTAATGGGGGAATCCAATGTGCACATACAAGTCTTATTCTGATGTGTTAGCCCGTAGGCAAAGATAGCGCAGATCAAATTTATATAAATTTTCTATGCATGCAGCCATTTAAATGTTACATCCAGCAAAAGATTGGTACCCTCATCCTTGAGGACAGTACAAACATATTCTGTTAGTAGACAGATCAGGGACATGAGGAGATGAAAGAGAAAGGGGTAGAAAAAAAAAGTACCCATTCAAGTCTATAGCAGAACTCACACTGAGGTCAGTGGTGCTAGGATTAAACCCCATGGCTTAGTAATATAACTTATAAAGATATATTAAAATTAAAGTATTTGCACTAGATCTAAAACTCAGTTCTGCAAAGAGGTATACATAGGCTTTAAATAATGTCAATGTTTGCAGAATTGGGGGCCAAGTCAATACAGACTTGTATTTCACAGTATTCAAGTGCAATGTTTTTCAAACCAGCAATCTGTTTTATAAGCAGTGTGCTTACAAGATTTAAAAAAAGAGTATGCTTTGAAATAAACTTTTCAATTGTTAGGAGGGAGGGGCTGAGCAGAACATACATAGCACTACTGAGGAAATTAAAAGCTGGAGATAATATCAATGTCGTTTATTGTAAAGATACCTTTATATTCTAGTGATTATGGCATTATTTTGAATGCCCTGTTTTTATGGGATTGAAGGCCTGTCTCTCTAAGATTTCCCAAAATATAATTTGATTTGTTTTCCACTGGTTAGACCTTTGAAATTCAGCCCATTTCCCTTATTAATGTCAGCAGGAAGGCCTTCATCTACTGATGGAATACTTAAAATGTCTTCTTGTCAGAGGTAAATGTTCTATTACTTCCAGTGTAGAAATGGACACACTTTGTATCTGGAGAAATCACTTTTAGAAACCACATATTTTATATTTTCCAATATTTAACATGTCCAATAAAACAGTTGTCCTGTGATGTTTATAAAACCATTTTGGAGCACTATATTTGAAAGATAAACTCCCATATGCAGCAAGGTAAATTCAAGTACTGTAAACTCAATTATAGTTTCATCTCCAGAGAATTTCTTCTGAAGTTATAAATGATGACACAAAGATTTAACAAAAACATTTACAATAGCAATGGGTGATCTCCTGTTGATAGCCAAGAGCGTTGTAAATGGAACTGGTAACAGTATGATGTAGAAAAAGTACCATTGAACCCTGCTCCCGGTAGAAGATGCAGTTTAAAAGCAGCCTTTAAGTTCTGCTTTCTCCATTTTTAAATTAAGGCCTCAGTAAGTAGCCCATAAGTAAAAAGCAAGGTTTTGTTTTGTTTTTTTAGTATTTACAAGCTAAAGATTTGCTTCCATAGCTGATTTGAAATGGCTGAATTGTCATTCAGTCTCTTTTTTCATACTGTATCGCTGAAGGATTCTACGAAGTCTTCTTCACTTGTTAATTCGAGTGTTCATAATTTTAAAAGCAAAAAAAGGGAGGAGGGGAATTAAATAATTCTTGAAATGTTTATCAGTCATCAATCTTCACAGGAAGCGAATCTGAGCCAGTGCTATTTGACTCGGTAGGTATCCATCCATAAGCTTCTTCTCCACGTATCACTTTTTCCCATTGTTTGAGATTTTCCCTAAAGAAACAATAAAAGTCAATATTCAACATAACAAAAATCTTTTTTTTTTTCAAAATAAGATAGTCAAAGATTGGTACTACATCACAAAATCAAGAATAATATGGTTCAGTCCCTCTTATTTAAATTGAATGGTCTCCGAAATGTTCTACATTTCCAAGAGAAGCTGGTTTGAAACCTATCAAGAGGTTCAATCCTGTCACCTGGAGCCCCCGGTGCTGCAGTGGGTTAAACCTCTGTGCCAGCAGGACTGAAGACCGACAGGTCGCAGGTTTAAATCTCGGGAGAGCGCGGATGAGCTTCCTCTATCAGCTCCAGCTCCTCATGCGGGGACACAGGAGAAGCCTCCCACAAGAATGATAAAACATCAAAATATCCGAGCATCCCCTGGGCAACATCCTTGCAGACGGCCAATTCTCTCACACCAGAAGTGACTTGCAGTTTCTCAAGTCGCTCCTGACATGACAAAAAAAACCCTATCACCTGAATTGAGATAACATATTACATATTACACATTTAAATCAGTTAGCCAATGTTAGGCTGCTTGTGTCTCATTACTGCTTTGTGAATAATAATAATAATAATAATAATAATAATAATAATAATAATATAATTTGAAACAAAAGATTAGTACATAGCAAACAAGATCACTATGCTGGTTGTTGTATTGGATCACACGTCAGACACTTCCCAAGTGTCTAAAACTATGCGATGTATCGGTGAATAATGCATGCAGATCCCAGTTGGATGGCCTTTTGCAGCTTAAAGATGGTAATTTTGTTAGCGCTAATTGTGTTTAAGTGCAGGCCAAGGTCTTTAGGCACTGCACCCAGTGTGCCAATCACCACTGGGACCACTCTTACTGGTTCATCCAAGAATCTTTGCAGTTCGATCTTTAAATCCTCGTATCGTGTCAGCTTTTCTAGTTGTTTCTCTTCAATCCTGCTATTTCCTGAGATTACAACATCGACAATCCATACTTGGTTTTTTAACACAATTGTGAGGTCAGGAGTATTGGGCTCCAAAACTCTGTCAGTCTGAATTCGGAAGTTCCAGAATAGTTCAACATGTTCATTTTCTGTAACTTTTTCAGGCATGTGATCCCACCCGTTCTTTATTGCAGGCAGATGGTATTTGTGGCACAAGTTCCAATGAATCATCTGAGCAACAGTGTTATGCCTCTGCTTATAGTCTGTCTGAGCAATCTTCCTGCAGCAGCTGAGAATGTGATCTATTGTTTCATCTGCTTCCTTTCAGAGTCTACACTTGGGATCTGTCATCAACTTTTCAATTCTGGGTTTGATGGCATTGGTTCTAATGGCTTGTTCTTGGGCTGCCAGAATCAGGCCCTCTGTCTCCTTTTTCAGAGTTCCATTTGTGAGCCAGATCCAAGTTTTTTCTTTGTCTATTTTGCTCTCAATTTTTCTCAGGAAGTGTCCATGGAGAGCCTTCTTTTGCCAGTTTTCTCTTCTGCTCTTCACTGTATTTTTACGGTATTCCCTCTTTGTCTTTTGCACTTGAAGCAGTTTACTACTATTGACTTCCATCAATGTTGGTTCTTTATTATTATTATTATTATTATTATTATTATTATTATTATTATTATTATTATTCCCTGCCACCATCTCCTGTAGGGACTCGAGGCAGCTTATGAATAGCACACAACGGTGCCACACAACAAATAAAATGCAGTGTATCAACATTAAAACCAATGACACATTTAAAACCAGACATATAAAATTAGCAAGAGCAATAACATCAGTAAAATATGGCAATAGAAACAGATTTTGCCCTGGGTAGCAGGAAGGTCTTGGAAAGTAAAGGGCAAGTGTTATTGGAATAGCACAGATTTTGTTGTATTTTGCAAAAATGTAGCCCCTGAAGCCCAAGTTGCAATGTAACATCAGATTATGGAAAGAATAAAACAGGAATGTTTGTGTAATGCCAAGGGCACAGATACTGACCAATTACAAGAAGGAAGTCAAACTAAGTGACCACACAATAAAAGGAGAAATGTCCTGAAATTAAACATACACACAGGACTGATTTTGAATAAACCTGGCTACAGAGGATTATTAGTGTTAGGTAATCAGATGGAAAATAGCCAGGAAACACTGGTCTTCCAGAGATATATCATAAAGACCAGTAAGATCTTTGAAATGTTTGGAGGAGAATAATTGTTTACAGAAACAAATTAACTTTCTTTACATAAGCAGTCATTAGCAAAGATCTGTCTCTGATTTGATGGATAGGATTACCTTGCTGCAAAAAAAATCCTGCATACCTACAGAATCTACTGAACAATTTTAAGGCCAGATTTCACTATTATAAAAGGCAGTTATGAATAAGACTTCTCGGTAACCTCCCTCCACCCAGAATTTACATAGAATTTCTGAATATATTTTTGTGTAAAAGTAAATTATATGTTAAATGCTTTCCAGCTCACAAAACAAATGACACGATGCAAATTCTTATTACTCACTTGCATGCTCGAAGTAGTGGTGCTGTGGGAGGGAAAATCTGTGCAAGTGTGGTATAACATGGCAAGGCTACAGCACTATAGAATCCAATCTAGAGAAAAATAGCATAAGGGAATTATTGATACAAAAACATGTGTGACTGTCTTCATCCCACATACAACTAAGGCCATTCTTATGTGGATAAATAACCATAAAACAAACTGTCAATGGGCATGTTAACAAAATTGTCACAAAATTTTGGTGAAGGGAAGAATACACCTCAAATGCTAACACTGTAACTTTTCTGAATCCTCAACTGAAAATGCCAAAAAGTCAGAAATCTCACAACTTTTAATTATGTAAATGCAAATAATATGTATTTATTGCATTTAGGTTGCACGTGAGTGTATTAATTTTCTTATACTGCCTCTACCAATGTAACTCACAGGTTTTATTTGATTTTATTCTCACTAGTAGCAATCTAAAATCTTTCCCATAATGTATGCATTTTTCTTAAACATCTGTAACTAAAACATATTACGGGCTGAAGTAGTGACTTTCCAAACGCAAAGCAAATAAGTATCTTTATCTTGGGCATGATTCATCAGTCTGAGCAAAAGCTGTTCTAAATTCAACATATCTCAGTCTATAGCTACTTGGATTTCCCTTGCCAATATTTGTGGCAGCTGCCTTCTTCCTCATTTGTTCTGGATTTTTGTGGAATATATACCTTGACTCAATTATAGTGAGGTGATCAGGTATTTTAGACTTACTTGGCCCTGAGGAACTTCATCCTTCTTATCTCTGTCCATCATTGGAATAGGCTGAATACCCAACTTCTTCATTTCATCACCCTGAAAGGATTGGACAAAATAACAGAAGATATGTGTGTGTGTGTGTGTAATTAATTTTTTAGTTATCTAATATATTTAATCTATATGTATTTCAAATTTAACATTAAAATAAATTAGGGATATCTGAAGTAAATTATTTACAACAAAAAGGAAGAGTGGTTATTGTTATAATTAATAATTTCCATTAAAACTTATAGGTCATGGTAGAAAGACTAAATAATCAGGGAACAGATGTTAAACTGAAACAGATTTCTAAAATTTTAAATAAATATTAAATATCCACATTCCTTTGAAAAAATATCAGGTTTAAAATGTAATCTGAATTTAACACAAAACATGTCTATATTAAGCCTTGCCTTCCAATCAGAATATAATATTTCATACACACACACAATTCTGATTGGAATAGCTTGATTTAAATTCAACTAAGCCTCATGATTGTAAAAACGGATAATTCTGGGGAAAGCTGAAGGCGGTAAGACTGATTCAATTAAGGAAGCCATAGACTTCCATTTGGGAGGCGGAGGTGCATATATGATCTTGAGATAGCGATAGCTCCCAGAAACTGCTCCAAGGGCAATTGTTTGGTGGAAGGAGAAGATTTGTCTGTGGAAATTTCTTTCTGAACATTTCTTTCTGGGACTGGTATTTGGAATACCAGTCCCAGGATACCCAATTTCCCATCAGGAGGTGGTCATGATAGGTATAGTGGGTGGAACAGTTTGACCAACCATTGGATGCCAAGTCATTTTTAAAAGATCTCTAAGTACTTCCATTTGATTTTCTTAAACTTTTTTGTTATAAAGAACTGGGTTAATGAAAGAAGCTATCTTCACTATAGGATGAAGATGAGCTTTTGTAAGAAGGAGAAAGAGAAGAAATGGATTTTAATTTCATAAAGTGTAAATGAGGTGTAAAAGAATTTTCATTTAATTACTAAAGGGGAAATAAACTACGTTCAATGTTAAATGAATACACAACTATTCTTATTGTGGGAGAGTGGCTAAGCTAGGACCTAAAAGATCAGATAACTTGGTGATGGCAAAAAATGCCAAGAGATGTAATGATCTATCTTCTCAAAAAGACTGAGTGATTCAATCCTACACAAAGATTAAATTGAAGGGAGATGGAAGAAACATAATAGTTTTTAAGGAAATTCCTACAAAAATTGTATGTAAGAAACAAGGCTAAAACTTTCTTTTTGTATTGTTTTAACTGTTACTTGCTGCAAGCCTACTTGAGTCCCTTCAGGGAGAGGGGACGAGATACAAATAAAACATTGTTGTTGTTATTGTTGTTATTATTATGATGTGAGATAAGCTAAAAGAAGATGCAATTTAGATATTAAAAAAAGGATTTAATTTTACTATTAAAGGCCATCTTTTCTATTTCGACAATACAAAGTAAAATCATGCAGGGAGAGGGGTGAAGGGCAAATGCAGGACTGTGCAATTAACCTTTCTCCCACTCAACACCCACACTTTTATGTACTTGACCAGTTACTTGACCAATGACATTAATTCAAAAAGTATAGGAGGAAGCTATATAGAAATGATAGGAAGTACAAGTAGGGCTGAACAGTTTCCTTTCTGGATTAAAAAAAATCTTTATCTTGCTCTTGATCTTCCAGAAACGGGAATCCTGATTCTATGGTATACTGCTAGCCGTACAATGGGAATGGGCTATAGCTTTCAACAAACTGACATAGCTGCTTTAACACACTGTTTAAGAAGAACTCTTTTATTTAGAGCAACAGAGGAAATGACAAATATTGTTAGTAAATTCCAAAGGAACACAAAAGATGGAAACAGCATAGGTGCCACTGTGTTATTTTATTCTAGAACAGAAAATCAAAACAGAAATAAATTTCAATTACACTCCAATACATGTCATATTCCATGGGACACTTCTCACAAGCAACATGTATAGAAGCAATATTTTTGTCAAAAATTACAAGTAAACATTCCTATCAATTAGTGGGTTTTTTTTTAAAAAAATCTTTCCATACACAAATTTTATGTCAGAGAGAAAAGTACTTGCTTTCTTCCCTCTACAAAATACTAGGATTAGTATTTTAGTGAGATTTTCTATAGAGTGGAGCATTCTTTAATGCCAGCTGTCACCTTCAATCTGAAATAGCAGAACTAGGATCAGACACACCAGTGAAATGTACTCTCATGATCTCTGATGCTGATGGTAATTCCCAAAGAAACACAGCAGAAACAATTAAGATAAACAAATCAATAATTAAATGTACATACCTCAGCCCAAAATTCTGCATATATATCACTAGCTGTCAATCTGGTCACGTGCCACAATTTTGTCACAGAACACAAGTCACATGCTGTCATCATTAATCCAATCACACGATCCCTAAAATATAATGACTCAGAATTTATCATAATGTTTTAAAATATTCAGTATTTGGTTATCAAGAATAACATGTATATAAACGGATTTGGCATTAATTATCACACATGGATGTTTTTTTTCCCCCGATTGTAATAAGCAAAATAGAATGACTAATTTTCTATCCCTTATCACTGGGGTGTATCCTTACTGTCATCAAACCCTATTCCCACAAAAAATTTTTTACAAAAAACAAATAAATTGACTAAATTGACTAGCAATTCACCTATATACTTGTGTATAGGTCAACCTCACATACAAATCGAGAGCAGGCTTCAGGGCCAACATTAAGGCCCTATAGATAAGCTGAGGGTCATTTGATGGAGGGGAGATAGTACCAGCAACATCTCAGTGGGGCAGCCACCATCACTGAGAATTACAATCCCTCGTGCAGCTGTCTTTCTTTCTTTGATCTTAGTACAAATGCATTAATACATGGGATAAGCCTTTCAATCCTATCTTTTACCCATCCACCCACAATCCATCTTATATTATTAAGTAGCTAAAGCACTGCAATTATAATAAGCATAGTGGCCCAAATACATTTTTAAAAAGTTCAATTTGTCATGCATTATTTGGCAAGAATGCATGCATATTGCCCAAGAAGCCATAAATATCAAAGCTATGTTTAATGCAAAGAAAATGTTCAAAAATTGAAGAACACAGGTGAAGACTGCATAGTCTGTTGGCCACTTGCAATCTCCAAAGCTGTTTTTGAGCCCCTTGGGGATCCCATCTTTTTAGATGCCTAACAAATGCTCTAAATGTTATTTTGGTCCCCACAGAGGATTTTTTCTATTGTTTCTATTAATAAGCTACTGGGCATCTGAATGTCTGAGGTCAATTTGTAACATATGTTAATATGATCCACATACATCATATGAGAAATTAATTCACAAAAGTCAGATTTTTAAAGTGTAATCTGAAACCTTTGACACTGACAAAATAACATTATTGAAACTTCAAGGTAAATTGTAAACATTAATTTGTTTTTACCTATGTGCCTGGTTTTTAAGATTTAGTGTTTTTCCCTGATGAAGTTCTTCTAACTGCTTCCGATTTCCAAAGTACAGAGCAAGGTCAGTAGCTATAATGGCTTTGCGGATGATTTCCAGGACTTGCTCATAATCATTGGAGCTCAAATTAGAGAAAATATTGTGGCCTTCCAGCTACAAAATTATAAAAAACAGAAAAATATCTTATTTTGAGCTAGTTTAACACATTTTTTCCATTTAAATCATGAATTTAATTGAGGGATGAACAACACCATATGGCCCCTGACACATTTTGGTACCACACCACTAGTGTTTTGCAATCTCCAAAACACTTAGCCCCATTTGACTGTGCTTTTTCTGAATGGCAGGGGGTTAGACTAGATGGCCCATGTGGCCTCCTTCAACTCTATGATTCTAGGGAATATATTCTTGACATAAACACTTGTTTAAATAAGATTTTTTTTTACAGGGGGCTACTGCAAACACAATTTTCCTTTATAACAAAGCAAATAGTCCCCACATATCTTGTCTTAAAATAAAATGACATTTTTGCTTTTGTTCCCAACACACTTTTGTTTTCCAGGGACATAGAACAGTGCTGGTTCAATGCCTGGCACATTCTGAAGAGGTTTATTTGGACCCTGGGCTCAACCAAGTTTCTCATTCAGTTTTAATACAACAAACATTCAAATACATAGTGCTGGCATTCTTATTATGTAATAAAAACTTTTTACATGAATTCTCCCCCCCCCCCCCCCCCCCCAACATATAAACTCTTTTCTCACATTGGGAAATCATGATGGCTTTGCTCATAGGGCAGGGAAATTCATAATTCAGTATCACATCATGGATTATTTCAATACATATTCCTGAGTGGTGGAAGCAAGAATTCAGTATATGGATGTTCAGAGCTTGGACAGTCACTCTTCAAAAATAATTCATTCCCTCATACATTGATAAGTTGAAAAAGCAGGTTTTTCTTGTTATTTATTATGAAGATGAAAAAGAAAACTTTATTTGATGTGCTGCTTCTTATTTTTCCATTACTTTTTTGAAGGGAAAGAAGCCTCAAGAACTGATAAGAGAATGACATCAGAGTGCCTATGAAATTAATTCTTAAAAGTATTTTTAAATAATTAGAAACATTTACTCATCACACCAATAAAGGAATTTGCTCTTACCTATTACACTCTCGTTATTCTTTACTAGTTAACAGCTAGTAGTTACAAACAATAATCAGTCACAGGTAATGCTAGTTGTAACTCATTACCTCCAAATCTGGGGCATGCTCATTTCAGCAGCAACACCACAGTACCTTTTGAGATATATTTTCCTCATTTAGTTGAATAAAGATGAATTTTTATCTTGCCTCACATTTTTGTTTGCCATTTTAAAAATACATTGATAACCACAATGTGGATGCTTAAACATTGCTTCATGTGCAACTTCCAGTCAAGAGGTATTCAATCTATGATCTCTGGAATGGTATCCTAGGGCACACAGGAGACCTTGGGCTGCTAAGGAAGTTCTCCTTTGACCAGAAGAATCAAGGTCTGCTCATGTGGCTGTCCTACAGGAGATACTAAACCTTTAGTCATATTTAGAATTCTTTTTTTTTTTTTGAATTTGAGCTGTTTTTGATAGAGAATAAAATGTATTACCTGCAAGATAGACACTGTCTGTGAAAAGTGATGCTGTTCCATGGTTGAGGTGGAATAAAGAGCTGCCAATGGATGGTCAAATTTCTGGAGATAGCTGTTGCTATAACCTCTGTGATCCAGGTCATGACATAAACACGCAACCAGAAGACCTCTTCGCTAGAAAAGAAAGCAGGTAGGATATGTATTTAGTACTCAATATCACTTTATACCACTAGATGCCACTCTACACTTCTAAAGAAAGTTTAGTGGCTGAAAGAATAGATAAAATGAACAGAAAATAATATTGATTGAATATGTAGAATAAATGAGAGAACTTCCAAAGAGTGAATCAATGTACTGTATACTAAACAACAGGCTATTGCTGAAGGGATTGTAAACCACCCTGAGTCCACCCCCCCCCTTGGGGGTTGAGAAGGGCGGGATAGAAATATTGGAAATAAATAAAATAGAGGAGTCCTAATTTGGATTTCATATGAACATCTATCTAGCTGATCTCTTTCTTAGCTAAATGCAAGTTTCTAGAAATTCAAAATATTTCCCTGTTCTGCTAACTGAAAAAAAATTTCAGCATGGAAATATTTAGAAATAATGACTAAACTTTGTTAGTACAATTACAAATGAAGCTGCAATACTTGGCTAAGACACTTCTTTTGTATTAAACAATGCCCTTCTATGGCAGTGTCTTTGCTAGAGAGTGACCTTCTGAGATGCTCAAACCTTCAGAAAAATTAGCAAAACCCCACATCTAGTTCAAAGTGTAATCAATCTTATTCAAAGTAAACCAAAATGGAAACCCTATATAATTCCTCATAAGTCACCAAGCAATTTTGCCTTGTGTGTTTAATTTGACATTTTTCATATATGCAAAATTATCATCATCACTGCCACCACCACAACTCTGTACTTACTTCTAGATCTGTGAAAACATTGTGGTTATTCTGAAGAATGGCATACATACAATGTACCACTGTAATTGCATGTTTCCAGTTGTGATAGGGTACACGGCGGTAGTTCTTCTTTACGGACATAGTGAAACGACAGAGTTTTTCTAAATCAAAACTTGAGGGGAAAAAGAAGAGTGAGACAAAGGCAGACTGCAAAACTTAAGAATAATGTTAACCAGAAAGGACAAAAGACAATTTACTGTAAAATGTATTTAATTCTATACTGGCAATGAGCCAGGTTTCAGAGAAACATTTCTAGTTGATATGAATTTCATGTAAGTTTGTACTTCGATGGAAGTACAAAGTAGGTTATATTGTCACAAGCAGAATCACATTCAACAGTAATTTTCCTTCCACTTATCAAATCCAGATGTTCTTCTCTTCACTTAAATACTAAGGTGATATATTTTTGTGCACTGCAGAAATATGAAACATTCCCCATTTTTTATGCCCATTCCTCACTTAGCTGCATTCAAAATAGCAAGCCATTGAGGAGCAGGGAATCATAGCATATTTCTCAAGCATGCTACTACTGGAGGCAGCAAGTAATGTTTTGAGCAACCCATTCCCAGCTTTCAGTTCAGAAGAGAAGGGGAGTTTATTGCTTAGAAAATGCCAGATTGTATAAAGCAAAGCAGAGAGTTTTATACCTCTGCTTGGATGCAGGCTATTTTTATGCCTTATGGCGAGAGATTATTAAAGAAATGGGAGAAGTGTGGTTGATTGTATCCTTATATCCTTCACAGTTCCCATAGGCATTATTTCTTCTCCAAGTATGTGTGTATGGGGCGGGGGTTAGGTTATGTGTGTCTTTTTTTACTTTATTAAGAGACCACAATTCCTATAATCTGTTACTACTGGCTACACTGAACACAGCTAATAGAAGATGAGATATAAAATACAGCAAGAGCTCCTCTGTTGGCTGGGCTCCACTTCTTCATTCCCTATAGCAAAGCTTCAGACACCGATAGTCTGTGTTTTGTGTTGTTGCACTAATCTAATGGGATTTAGTTCATATTCAAAATACTGTCCTGGATGCTGAAAATGAATACAATTTAACTTCCATTGCACCTGTGTGGAAACTGATACAAACATGGAGATCCCTGTTCTTTCCCTGCACAGGGCAATACATCACATAGTCAAGAATTCTTGAGAAGCATTCTTCAACTCAAAAAAGAGGAAGGGACAGCAGAGCTGCATGTCTACATCAGAGTCCCACAGAGCTTTTAAGAATAACCAAGTAATTTCTCAGCAGCCTATGTTCCTTTTTATTTTTTAAAAAAGGCAAACTTTCTGAAGAACAGTCACATCTGGTGAATTAATGGCAAATATCAATTTTAATTGAAATTTAGATCACAAAAGTTGGTTCCTAAATCAAACCATATTTAAATATCCCATGCAAACACAACCCCATCTATTCAAAGCTGGTGTCTAGGCTAAAAGCTCTAATTACCCTTCCTCCACAACATCAGACTCCACATAAAGGCTCAATGCTGACAGCATAGCACTGCATTCTTCTTTGTCCTGAGTGTCTTCCCTGCTGATCCTCCTGCATATGCAAAATGGGGCAGACTTACATGGCAGGAAAGAGAACTACCTTGCCTCTATGGTTACATTTCAAGCTAAGAATTACCTAGTTGAGACATTTTACAATTCAAAACAATCTCTATACATAGACAAATTTAATTTAGTCCATATTTTGTATTTAATATATGAATATTTAAATATGTTTACTATTTTGCTTCTATTTGTGGCTACCACTTCAGCAGCATGTTTATTTATGGAGAAGACTCACTGACATCAGTGGAACTTATTTTCATGTAAGGGAGCATACTTCTGATACGATTTTCAGCATGTAATACCTCTTTGACTGAATTGTCGAGTATTTACTGATATTACACAAAACAAAAACAATTCTTGGTGTCTTAGTATTTAGGTCTATTCCTGGGCTTAATTGGGGCACATACTCAGAAAACTGCATTGAATAGACAACATCATCTCTAGTTTCTCAGATATGGTTATCATGGTTTTCTTTGGGTGGGCAAATGGTGACTGGTAGATGGCATATGTTCCATATTCCAAAAGCTAGAGCTGATAAGGAAAAACTGGTGCCATTTTTAGAATCAACAAATCAAATATACCCAGAAAAGAGGTTAACATTTGAGGCACCAAACTGTATGTTGGCCAGTGTTATAGATTAATATAAAGTGGAGAGTTAGTGTTATAGAACAGAAAAAGTGGGTTCACTACTTTATCAGTTCTTAAATATGCAAGCTTTTCCTAAAATTTCACTTAGAATGCATTTCAGGAAAAGTGAGAAGGAAGGTTGACCATTAACAGAATATCTGAGACTTTTGTTTATGATATTCTTGTTGCAAAAAAGCAAGGAAAAGGGCAAAATGGGAAGGCTAGTTTAGATGTGGTCAAAAGATACAGTGGAATCTACTGGCATGTGTCCAGATGCTTTGTAGCAAATCAGAAAGGGTAATAAATCTTCTCCTTACAAAGAGAATGCTGAGATGCATGCAAACAGTTGGTGAAAACTAGTAGTGACTATTTCTGTAATGTGACTTTGAGCTTCCTAAGCTGAGTGCTTATTTCGTTGCACCCTTGATTCTCTACGGTACTTTGTAAAACCCCTTCTGAACCATTTTTCATCTGAAGAGTTTAGAAAAAGAATCAAAGAGGATTCTCAGAAACTGAAATCTGTCCACCTCTGGAGTTGACAATTTATGCATATATTGTATATAATGAGGGAAAAATTCAACAGGACTGAGCATCCAATTTGTCTGTAACTGATGTATGATTGAAGATAATGTAATAAACAAGATAAGGAAATTAGAAATGAACTAAATTATTGAATTGAAACATAATTCATGAAATGCTTCATCTACCATCAGAAAAATCTGGCCAAATGTATCTTCCATTTAAAAAAAAATCCTGAGTTTTTCTTTTAAGACATAAACATAACACATTTTCCTGACGTTTCATTTAAAACTGTAGCATGTATCCAAAATAAATTATAATGAAGATTTTTAATCAGATTTAAAGATCGCAAAACCCATAACTGATTATCAGTTTGTTTCCAGATGCACACATACCAAAATACAGATTTAAACAAAATTAAAAATAAAATCAGTATATTACTGAAAGAAGCAAAATTTGTAGAAGTAAAGTTTGATAGAAAAATAACTCTCCTATTCAAAAAGCTCTGCAGGGCTCTGAGGCACACGTGGAGGTCTGGGCAAGTGATGGAGAAAGTAGTGCCCATATTGAAAGCCTAGAGGGATGTAAGGATGCTTTTGCTCCAATTTGTGGAACATAAAAATAAGATTTTTTTTTTTTGAAAAATTAGGAGGAAATGAAGCTTGAATGTTTTCTCTTATCGAATGGAACTTATCTACTTTATAAAACATACATAGTTTTAAAATACTGCTTGAACTATCTTTGAAAGTTTTCTAAAAAATGAATAAGAACTGTTTAAAGGAATCTGTATTTATACAGTTAGGAAATTATATTTATTCCATACTATAAAATGATATGTATGATATTTCAAATCCTCTTGCATATAGAGTTCTCAATTTTCTGCAATATCAATAAAGATCGTTGTATCTACAAGGGGATACATTCACAGCCAAGACCATGGTTACCTGAAACTGAAGATATTGACCATATGTCATTAAATTTAGTAGCTATCCTCTCAAGGAATTTGCTAGGTCCTCCAACACAACTGTATGGCAACTCCTACGGGGAAGCATTACATAGAATCACCTGGAGGACCTAGCAAGTTCCTAGACAGACCATTTCCCCCAAGGCATAGATAAGTGAAACTGCGGGTGTGGATTCCACAATTATGGGGATCCTAATGTACGAACTATGGAAATGCAGTACATCAAATTAAGGCCAGCTGAAATTAAGAATATGAAATTACTGATCTATCAAAGAACTAATAGATGTATTTTCAAAAATATATTTGTTTTTAGTCTGGAATTCACATGGCTAATTTTATCTACATTTACTAAGTCAGAGGAGTTATATCACACATTAAAAACTAATAGATTTTATTTAGTAAAAGCTTTTATGGACAGCAGCCCACTTCATCAGATTATTGCACCCAATGGGCTTCAGTCCTCAAAAAGCATACATTAAATAAAATCTGTTAATCCTTAAGGTGGCATCAGAATCTGTAGCTTTTGCGTCTCCTTTGGGAATCATAAATATATGTATGATGAGAATGACACTGCTGTAATTGTCAATGTTATTCTGAAGTTATAACATACAGATCTTCTGATAGGCCATACTACTTTGGCCACAGAAGATAGATATCGCTGTCCTTCCCTCAGCAACAGAAGCAGACAGAAAAAGTAATTGTTTGATTCCTACACATTCTTCTAAATGAGAAAAATATTCTAGACTTTATACTGTTTAGGATGGTTCTAAATAATACTGACAGAAGGAGAATCTATTGCAAATATGTCTTTTTCACACTATAGTTAGAGGACTTTGATACTTTGAGTATCATTCTTACATGCTATGAAATCCTGCAATTTATAATTGATGAAATATTTAGATTTCTTTGTTGGAGAGCCATACCTTCACACCACTCTACAAAACCCATGATTTCATAGGATTTATAGGGTGGGGAGGGTAAATATTTCATAGAGTAATTTTTTAGAGTGTCAGTTAGTAAAATTGTGAATATTTCATCTGTGGATAAGGAGCTTGCATTGTAGTGTGAATACATTACACTTAGTGTACATTTAGGTATTTTCAGATATTCTAGTTTCTTTCTCTGCTTCCTATATGGGATATATTTTTATTGGAATTCAACTGTATATTTATATTAATGGATAAAGCTTTGAATCAGAAAATAACAAACCTAACAGAAAAGTTTACAGATAATTCAGGAAAAATTAATATATTCCAATTTTCACAAATATTTTTGTTTTCCCCAAACACTGGGATTAGGGAAATGCAACTGCTTCAAATGTTTTGGATTTTTAATTTTTTTCTGACTTCCATGTGTATATCAGAGTGCCCAAAATAGTATGGTAATGCACATTAGATAATGGCTAACATGTTTAATATGTGCAAAATTTGGGTGCAATTGATTATTTGCACATATTGTCAGGTTTCTATATATATGTGAAATGCTTAGGTCTAAATCCAATTCGTTGTCCCAGCCAGAGTACAGATTCATTGAATCAGTGGATACTAGGTAGAATCATAGAATCAAGAGTTGGAAGAGACCTCATGGGCCATCCAGTCCAACCCCCTGCCAAGAAGCAGGAATATTGCACTCAAATCACCCTTGACAGATGGCCATCCAGCCTCTGTTGAAAGCTTCCAAAGAAGGAGCCTCCACCACACTCCGGGGCAGAGAGTTCCACTGCTGAACGGCTCTCACAGTCAGGAAGTTCTTCCTCATGTTCAGATGGAATCTCCTCTCTGTAGTTTGAAGCCATTGTTCCACGTCCTAGTCTCCAGGGAAGCAGAAAACAAGCTTGCTCCCTCCTCCCTGTGGCTTCCTCTCACATATTTATACATGGCTATCATATCCCCTCTCAGCCTTCTCTTCTTCAGGCTAAACATGCCCAGCTCCTTAAGGCTCCTCATAGGGCTTGTTCTCCAGACCTTTGATCATTTTAGTCGCCCTCCTCTGGACACATTCCAGCTTATCAATATCTCTCTTGAATTGTGGTGCCCAGAACTGGACACAATATTCCAGATGTGGTCTAACCAACACAGAATAGAGGGGTAGCATTACTTCCCTAGATCTAGACACTATGCTCCTATTGATGCAGGCCAAAATCCCATTGGCTTTTTTTGCCGCCACATCACATTGTTGGCTCATGTTTAACTTGTTGTCCACGAGGACTCCACGATCTTTTTCACACGTACTGCTCTCGAGCCAGGCATCCCCATTCTGTATCTTTGCATTTCGTTTTTCCTGCCAAAGTGGAGTATCTTGCATTTGTCACTGTTGAACTTCATTTTGTTAGTTTTGGTCCATCTCTCTAATCTGTCAAGATCGTTTTGAATCCTGCTCCTGTCCTCTGGAGTATTGGCTATCCCTCCCAATTTGGTGTCGTCTGCAAACTTGATGATCTTGCCTTCTAACCCTTCATCTAAGTCATTAATAAAGATGTTGAACAGGACCGGGCCCAGGACGGAACCCTGCGGCACTCCGCTCGTCACTTCTTTCCAGGATGAAGAGGAAGCAGTGGTGAGCACCCTCTGGGTTCGTCCATTTAACCAATTACAGATCCACCTCACCGTAGTTTTGCCTAGCCCACATTGGACTATTTTCCTTGCCAGAAGGTCATGGGGGACCTTGTCGAAGGACTTACTGAAATCCAGGAACGCTACATCCACGACATTCCCCGCATCTACCCAGCTTGTAGCTCTATCGAAAAAAGAGATCAGATTAGTCTGGCATGACTTGTTTTTGATAAATCAATGTTGACTATTAGCGATGACCGCATTTGTTTCTAAGTGTTTGCAGACCACTTCCTTAACAATCTTTTCCAGAATCTTTCCTGGTATTGACGTGAGGCTGACCGGACGGTAGTTGTTTGGGTCATCCTTTTTTCCCTTCTTGAAGATTGGGACCACATTGGCCCTCCTCCAATCTGCTGGAACTTCTCCTGTTCTCCAAGAACTCTCAAAGATGGTTGCCAATGGTTCCGAAATGACTTCCGCTAGTTCCTTCAATACTCTTGGGTGTAGTTGATCTGGCCCTGGGGACTTGAACTCATTTAGAGCGGCCAGGTATTCCTGTACGACTTGTTTCCCAATTTGGAGTTGGATGTCCTCAAATCCCTCATCCACTCCGTCTTGCTGAGGTTGAAGATGACTTTCTTTTTGTGAGAAGACCGAGGCAAAGAAGGTATTAGTAGTTCTGCCTTTTCCCTATCCCCTGTCAGCATTGCCCCATCTTCTCCTCGAAGAGGCCCTATCGCCTCCTTGTTTTTCCTTTTTCTACTGACATAAGAAAAGAATCCCTTTTATTGTTTTTAATGTCCCTGGCAAGCCTGAGCTCGTTTTGTGCTTTAGCCTTGCGGACCTTTTCCCTACAGGTGTTGGCTATTTGTTTGAATTCTTCTTTGGTGATTTCTCCCTTTTTCCAGTTCTTGTGCATGTCTCTTTTGTGTCTCAGCACAGCTAGAAGTTCTTTGGATATCCATTCTGGCTTCTTTGCACTTGTCCTATTTTTTCTTTTTGTTGGCACGGTTTGCAACTGTGCCTTGAGTATTTCACTCTTGAGAAACTCCCATCCATCCGTAACTCCCTTGTCTTTTAGTATCTGTGTCCACGGAATGCTGCTCAGTGTTTCCTTCATTTTTTGGAAATCAGCTCTCCTAAAGTCCAAAATGCGGGTTTGACTTGTCTTAGTTTCGGCCTTTCTTTGTACCTCAAATTGCAGGAGCACATGGTCACTTGCCCCTAAGGATCCTACCACTTCAACCACATCGATCAGGTCCTCCACATCTGTTAGGATGAGATCAAGAGTAGCCAATCCCCTTGTTGCCTCTTCTACCTTCTGGACCATGAAATTGTCTGCAAGGCAAGCGAGGAATTTGTTGGACCTTGTACTCTTGGCCGAGTTTGTTTTCCAGCAAATATCGGGATAGTTGAAATCGCCCATGACTACTACATCTCTTCTCTGTGCCTGTTTGGTCAACTGTTGGCAGAAGACTTCATCAAGTTCTTCCTCCTGGCTTGGAGGTCTGTAGTAGACTCCTACAACAAGATCTTTTTGAGTCCCAGTTCCCTTGATTCTTATCCAGATGCTTTCAAGCTGGTTTCCCAGATTGCTGTCATGCATGTCTTCTGCAGTGTAACAGGTTTTGACATATAAGGCTACTCCGCCTTCTCTCCCCTTTTTTCAGTTTCTGTGAAAGAGGTTATAGCCCTAGATGTCTACATTCCAGCGATAGGAGTCATCCCACCAGGTTTCAGTGATGCCTATGATATCATATTTGTGGTGTTGTGCTAAAAGTTGGAGTTCGTCATGTTTATTTCCCATGCTCTGTGCATTAGTGTAAAGACATGTGAGCCCCTGAGATCTTCCCCTGAGCTGTTTAATTGGGATTATTGTGCTTTCGGTACTTGGTCCTTTTTGTGTTTGTGCAGCCCTCTGTTTAGCCTTCTGGCGGTTCCCTGACATTGTGGGTAAAGTAGTGTTCGCAAGGCTGTTGTCCCCCTCCCCCAGTGGGCCTAGTTTAAAGTGCGCCTAATGAGGTTTGCGAGTCTGTGAGCAAAAAGGTGTTTTCTACTTGTGTGAGATGCACCCCATCCCTTGCCAGTAGGCCATCCTCCTGGAAAAGCAGGCCATGGTCAAGGAAGCCAAAACGTTCCTCCTGACACCATTTTCTAAGCCAGTTATTGACCTGTACTATTTTTCTGGCCCTTGTAGGACCGTGTTTTATGACTGGGAGGAGGGATGAAAAGACCACCAGTACATTACATTGCTTTAGCTTTGTTTAGCTAGGTAACTACATTCTAGGTGAATCTACCAATTCACTGAATTAAGACCAGTGAATCAACCTTATTCCCTAGCACCCCTTTTGTCAACTCCATAACTCTCATACTCCTAAAGCACCAGTGCCCCATTTTAAAAAACAGTTAAAGACTTGCCCATAAAAAAATCCAAACCACTGTACAAGATAGTATTCTACGTATTTTACCCACTCAAAACGAAAACGAAAACAAAACCCGCCTTGAATCTCATCAAATCTCTTAACAGTTCTCTCAAAAATCAGTCTAAAACAGGGGGGGAAACTTCCAAGAAGTAAAAATATAGAAGTGACTTTGGGTCTTTCTTGTTTTAGTCACTGTGGAGGGGATGTGCCCATCAACCCCTCTGGAGCTGTTTGTTCACTAGCCACAGAGCCTTGGAAAATATGGTAGAACATAGAACTATTCATTTGCAGCTGCTGAAGTGGAAAAGGAAATCCATGGATTGTGGTAAAGTGATTTCTCCAAGAGAGGGGCAAAGGAGACTCCATTATATTCCGAGGCAGCATATCCCACTGTTGAAGAGCTCTTACCATCAAAAAGTTTTTCCTAATGTTTAGGTGGGCTCTCTTTCCTTACAGTTTGAATCTCTTGCTCCACATCCTGGTCTTTGGAACAGCAGAAAAAAACATGCTCCCTCCTCATTAGCTGTTCTTCAACTAAGCCTAGGCTAAATAAAGTTGGGCTGAAAAGGCAGGCCTCTGACTGCTAACTATCACAGTTGCCTCCTCCTGTTATAGTCATACAACTGTTAGGCAATTTGTGAGACAGATATAATGTGCACAAGGATAAGTGCACATTATATCTCAGTCAGCTCAACAGAAAAGTCTAATCAAGGCATTGTGCAGCCCAACTGCATCTCACAAGAGCTTTCAGTGCCAGATAATTAATGTAAGGTTGGTTGCTATCTCCATCCCATGCCAACACTGGGTGGTCTGACCATGCAAAATTCCCCAACTTGGAATACTTCAGCTGTTTAGGACTACAACTACAATCAGTCCCAGTCATCATAACCACTGAACAGGGATGATGAGAATTTAAGTTCCAAAATATAGGGGGTGTTAGTTGGAGAAAATCTTCTGGAAAGTCAGACTAATGCTTCAGTTCTTTGTAATGTGACAACAAATCACAAACACTAAAAAGCACCCAACTGCTTGATGGCTTTTGTTGTATGTCTCCTAATATTTTTGCCTACTATCCATTTTATATTTTATTTAGGTAGTTTTCAGCAATGCTTATGCTGTTCTATTGTTTCTATTTTATGTTGTCATTCAAGTAGTGATTCTTCTACTGACAATGTTATTTCCATTCCATTGTCAGCCATTGTTCTGTTTATTGCTTATTTTATATATTTTCATCTATTTACAAATTACAATAATATGTTCACTTTTTTAAAGAACGTCTGGTATATTATCAGCTTTGCCTTGCTGCTCTTCTTTGGTCTTTTACATTCTATCAGAAGTATCCATAGTTTCTCCACATGATTTTACTTTATTTTATAGGTAATACATTTTACAAATATTTTATATATGAGTGGGCTACTTTCTGTTTTTCAGCAAATATTTATTTGTATCTCATCTTAAACATTAATTACATATGTTTACAATCTCTTGCATCAATGTACCTGCAAAAGATTCTGAACACTACAATTTCTTTGAATTGAAAACACACATTTGTATGAATTGTCACTAAGAATATTTTACAAAAGCAATGATAAGTGCTGCATCAACAGAAAAACCAAGCCCACAATTATAACTCAATTTTTATCTTAACTGGACAAGAATGATTTCAGATAAAAATTATGCCATGCTGCAGAATCAATCAGAAAATAAATAAATGCAATATCAAAATAATTTTTTAAAAATCCTACCAGCCTATTCCACAACACTGATGGATCATATGGATAAAAATGGCTGGCCAAAAATCTTCATAAGGACTGATGTCAAAGTGGTATCTATTATAAGAAAAATACACAGTTAGAACTACAGAATCACATTTCTTTGAAAGGTAAAATCAGTCCCTTCCATAAAAGGTGCTTGTTATACCTTATTTGGACATTTATCTATATATGTCCAATAGCCTAATAGTTCTCTGGATGGTTAATTTTAAAATATGAAGCTAATAAAACCACACTAAAACTGCAGAAGTTAATACAGACCAAATAAAAACAGCAGCATGGAGGAAACTGGTGCAACAGTATTAAAACCACAGACAAAAAAAGGAGGAAGGGAGGAGGGAATTGCAACAGCGTAGAGTAATAACATCAAATTGGGGTAAAAGAATGTCTTCAGGAACCATAGAGAGACATCGTAACCAGAGCCATTTACTTGTATAAGCTTCGCCTAACAGAGTTGAAAAACCAGGTTTTTCAAAGAATCTTGAGGTTCCTCTTAAGAACTGTGAGAGCCATGAAGTGGTTTAAATTAGTTGCAAAAATCATTTTGCATCAGTGGAGTGGAAAGCAGTTCCAGTAATTTTTAACCTCTTCTTTACATTTTAAAGCTTTTACTCACAAAATCTACAAACGATGCCCCAAATCCCATTCTTAGTTTTCAACCCTCACATGAAATGGGGAACTGTAGCCCCATCTACACTGACCATTTAAAGCGATTTTGAGCTAGCATCAAACTAGAGCAGCCAGACAATAAAATCCCACAAAAATGTGTGAAAGAAAGCCATTAATGTGAATCAGTACTCTCGTTTATGGAATCCCCTTCCAAACCTCAAACTGGTTCCAGAATTTCCTATGTAACCATCTGCCCAACAAAACAACTTTATTCAATCCTGCTTTGAAACAGCATTAAATGGTCAGTGTAGATGGGGTCAGAGTGGAGAGAGAATTCACATGAAAATCCTAATAGATGAGTTAAGAGACACCCCTTACACAGTGAAACCTGGTCCTGAGAAATACTGATGAACAGCATTATGTTCCTGCAGTTTCTTGATGACTTTACTATGCCATCTTCCCCCAGCAACCATGACAAGTAATTGCTTTAAAACTTTGATAAAAGAAATGAGCTGGACTGACTGTATCTTTTTCTTTTTAGGTATTTCAATATGGGTAATTTGTTTTGCTTTTGCTTCCCTTATGTTTTTTGACTTCTTATAGTAATTTCCTTGGTTTTTATGAAGGTATTCACCAAGAACGACTGCTATCCCTAAAATTTCAGTTTATTTGATTAATTTTATTCATTCGATTTACTATACATATACCATTTGCAATCAGTGGTATACTATATGTGTACCATCTGTAAACAATTACATGCCTGGGAATATTAAAAATATTTGGATAACTGAATGGGAGCCAGCTTTCCATAGGGTACCACCAAAAGTGTACCAAAGGTGTTTTACTTTCTTCCTGATGCTTCCCAAAATGACCCTTAGACCACTTTAAGTCACCATTCTGGGAAAGACACAGATAAAAAAAGGTATTTAACACTGTTTAGGGGCTTGGGGTTTGTGTGAATGCTTCTGCAAATATTTGCATGATTGGGGAGCCTTTGTAATCTCTTGAACATTTTCAAATTTGAGGTGGTTGAAAGGGTTTATGGGAACTAATGGCAGGTGGCAAGAGTGAGGTTTCGAGGGTGCATGTATCCTATAGGCTGTCCTTGTTTTGATACATTTAATTGTACTGGATTTGACGGGGGAAAAAAATAAGCGAGCAGCCCTGTCTCTCTGTGAATACAAATTAAAGGAACTTACAGAATTTTAATAATAAGAACAGCAAATTATAAAAACATCATAAAAGTTTATCAAACCAATTTCAACAACCGGTAACCAGGAATATGGTGTGCATATGGTGGGAAATGTTCTTTATTCAGCATTATTATGTATACTTAATCTTGGATATAGCCCAATTAAAATGTTTCTTGAATGATAGGGGAAATGGCAGTTAAATGTAAAACATAGTTCTTGCACAAAGTTTCCTAACTTGTGCAAAGCCCCACCGATCATGTAGAACAGAACTTTGCAAAGATATGACTTTTAAAAACATAGGGTACCTTAATACGAATATTTATAAGCAATAATACTTTTTGAGATTTGAGAAAATCTGCACAGAATGGAAGGTTCTGGTGGTAAGTCTGTAGACACTTTAATGTTTAATTATAGTAATGGTAATGCTGGTGGTAATAAAACGATGTTTATGACTCATCTGTCCATTGCCTGAGAGACGTTGTGAACACCAGAAAATGAAATAACACTGTACAATCATTTTAAATGGCATTTTATCTTGTTATCCAAAGATATAATCATATGTTGAGGGTCAGAAAGATAGAACTACTCATTGTTTTATTATTAACTGCTGCTGCATCATAGTTGTGTGCAACAGATGTTTTATTTCCCCATCACTGAACTGAGGAACATACTTAGGTGAATTGGAAACACAGTCTTGCACAGCAGATATGTTAGAGGAGAAAGTAACCGTTTTGTTTAAACAAATGATTAATCAGTCATGGCTGTTATGACAACGATGGGATTCTCCCAGAGTGTTTCAGAGCCTACATACATATATCAGACTATACATTGGATTTGGTGTTCTCTGCTGATCAAAGAACCATGACCTTTAGTGTGAGAGTTAACAGCAGTTCCTGGTGAGATAAAGACTTAACACAAATTCTTAGTTTTTGCAAGAGGGAGGGAGAAGTTAAACTGGCATATGAAGAAGTTCCTCCCAATGCAAAAATAAGTTGTAAAGAAGGTATTTTCTTTACAACTTATTTTTGCAAGAAAATGTTAAATTACCCCTCTGTACTTACTACTCAATCTGCCACTGAGTCACACTGAGTTTAAAAATGTATTACTGTCATGTCCATTTTAACACTTTGAATAGTAATAGCTATCACTTTACTAAATATGGGTCCCAGGCTGGAAGTAGGGCAGGATATAAATCAAATAATGTATAAGCTACTTTTATACAGGTTGAATACTGCTTATCTGAAATGCTTGGGACCAGAAATATTTGGGATTTCAGATTTTTTTCACATTTTGGCATGCCCAATGTTTAACATAATGTACATAATCTTGGAGATGAGACCCATGTGTCAATATGAAATTATAAAAAAGCTAGCAGTAATATTAAAATGTTTTTAATTTTTTGTGCATTAAATAAGGTCTGTGCCATCACTGAGCCATCAGAAAGCAACTACGTCACTATCTCAGCCACCCATGTGGACAATTTTGATCTTTGGAATTCCAAACATGGAATGCTGAATTTATATTTAATAATTACATAAAAAACTCACAGTTCAATTTCTTGGCAGAGGTGTGGTGGGAGTTTACAGTCCATGAGGTTTTGCCATTCTTCCTCAGTACATACACTATGGTAAGAAAGCTTCTCCATAGTTACACGATAAATACATTCTGAATGGCGAATTCTGTGGTACATCTAAAATAAGGGATAACTATATAAACATAGGTAAAATACATAACGGATAACTATATAAACACAAGGGATAACTATGTAAACATAGGTAAAATACATTCTAACCTTTGTTAAATTTTTGTTTATACAAAACAACTCACACTTCTGTTTGTGATGGCTAAATGGGAATATTTTAAAAGAGATAATTTATGTCATCAGTGTTATCATATGAGTGGAAAATCTTTAAACGTTTCAGAAAAGAATGCAACTGAAATTTTAATCGCACAATTTTACTAACAAAATCTGATTAATCTTTGTTTTAACTATCAAATCAGTAAATCTAACTTGGCTAAATAAAACCCCAAGTGTTAATAGTAATAGCATGCTTTATGAAAGGCATTACTTTCATTCTAGTTCACTTGTATTTCACTGTGGAATAAAACTTACATTAGCACAGTGTAAGGCTAAAGCACAAAAGACTGCAAACATTTTAAAGTTGTTCTCATCGGTTTTAGAGAAGGCACTTCCACTGAGTTTGTTCACCATCTGCACAACGCCTATTACACTTCCTCGGCTCACAATAGGCATGCATAAAATGTTCCTCGTGGTGTATCCTGTGTAGAGATCTACTTCTCTGGACATTTAAAGAGGGGGGGGGGGATAAAAAAACAGATTTTTAGCACATTCACTTTTCCTATGTAAGACTATTTAATAATAATACTAGGCATGCTAGCCCTCAGAAGATGTAAACTTTTACATGGGAAAGAAAGGCCAGGCATGGTCACATATACAAGGAGCACAGCAGAGCTCTGCACAGAAATCCCAGGAACCAGAAAAATCCTTTCTCTTTAAGACTTCATCTTCCTCTCTAAGACTAATTGATGGAATGGAAATTTCACCTCTCCTATGGATACAAGAATATCTGAAGACCAAAGACTCCTTTGGAGTCAACAGAAGAGCAACATCCCCTTGATCTAGAACAGAAGGTTTAAAAGAACTATGCCAAATGAAGGCACATCTTCAGTGCTTGTGAATGTGATCTTTTGAATCACAGCCTTAAATCCAAGATCCATGACAGTTTTTGAATCTTTTCAAATATTCTTTCCCTCCCTCCCTACTACTATGGTATGACAGAGGGAAAAACTGATTGGAGACAGAAGATTGGAACTAGTGGTGTTTGTTTCTTTGAGAGTTCAGACTTAATAGAACAAAATAACGGACTAAATAGAAATGATATGGGACAGCCCTGTACTTGGAAAGCAGTTTCTCATGCCCGGTCATTCCACAGTTAAGAAATAAACCCCAAGGGCCACATCACAAAAGTGAAAAGAAAGGGGCAATGCCAAATCCACTGCCCCGCATACAACTCCCTCTCAGCAATGCTTTCCCCATCACCTGTGGGAAGTCTCATCATTCTGCAGAGGATCTGTGCTGGCCCAAGTTCTGAGGGAAGCATCCATTTATGCTTCCACCTCGGTTGGGGGTGGGACCTCTGCTGGAAGTCACAACCATGTGATCACTGTGGGGCTCCGTCCCCAAGACAGGGTCAAAGCATCTGATTTAGGTGAGGTGTAATGACGTCATAATAGTATCAGAAAAACTAGTCTAGCTATATTTTTATTTTAAATTCAACTGCACTGAAAACCATCCAATGCAAATATGCATTCTAAATTTGCTTACGAATAACTCAAGTTATGTTGAACTCACTTGTGTGTGGAAAGCTTACTTAATTTCATACCTGTTAAAACGTGGATCAGCATAGGCATCAGGAATATTGAGGACTTCTCCTGTTCTTGCCACCTGGCCAGCTATTCCTTTTTCAATAGAAAACCTGCAGATGACATAAAGAGATACGCATGCATTGAATCAATATGCTAAAAAGGATGTGAATTTAAGTTTGGTAATGTTTCATTGATGTGATGGAGGTAATTCAGAACGAGATAACATCTTACAATTGGTTACCTGAAAACAAGGCTAAAGTCATTTCCTAGGGGAGAGACTTTCTCTTTAAAGTCACAACGCAACTAACATGCAACTGCAGCATGATCTGTTCTACTATATTGCAGAACAGTATCATAGAATCATAGAGTTGGAAGAGACCTGTGTGCCATCCAGTCCAACCCCCTGCCAAGAAGCAGGAAAATCTCATTCAAAGCACCCCCAACAGATGGCCATCCAGCCTCTGCTTAAAAGCCTCTAAAGAGGGAGCCTCCACCACACTCCAGGACAGAGAGTTTTATTTATTTATTTATTTATTTCACTTATACCCCGCCCTTCTCACCCCTAGGGGGACTCAGGGCGGCTTACATAAAGGGCACAATTAGATGCCCAAATCACACAACAAGTAATCCAAAAAATATAAAATTCAGCAGTTAAGTTAAACAACAATACATAATAAAAACATAATCCTAAAAACAATCTCATGTCAGAGTCCATATATCAGAGTCCATACATCCGTTCTATTCCGTCTGTCCTTGTCTGTCGCCGGTCCTTGATTTAATTATCAGTGACCAAAAGCTTGGTCCCACATCCAGGTCTTTAGTTTTTTCCTAAATGCTAGAAGGGAAGTCGCCGATCTAATCTCCCCGGGGAGTGAGTTCCACAGGCGGGGGGCCGCCACTGAGAAGGCCCTGCTCCTCGTCCCCGCCAGCCTCACTTGTGACACTGGCGGGGTCGAGAGCAGGGCCTCCCCAGAAGATCTTAAACTTCGAGGTGGGACGTAGAGGGAGATCCGTTCGGACAAGTACACTGGGCCGGAACCGAGTTCCACTGCTGAACAGCTCTCATGGTCAGGAATGTCAAACAATTTCTACCTGTTGGGGTAAGATGACAATAGATCTTGAAGTTTGATTATGAGCACTCTTTTCGGAAAATATTTTTTTTATACTTATTTTGTGCGACATATATTTTCTGCCCAAAAAAAGGAATAAAGGGATTTTTAAATGTTTTTAATTTTCTTTTGCTGGTCTTTCTCCTATTTATACAGAAGCAGAAAAGTATACCAGCAGTTCACCATTTTAATGCATTATTCTCAATGTGTTGAGAATTATTTTTAATTTCCCTTCCAACTAGATACCTAGGAAGTAATAGCTGAACTTACTGTCACCACATGATGTGGGCAGGATTTTTTTTTCTAGGTATCAAAAATGCAGAGTATGTAAGTTGCAATGGACAGTTTTACACATTTTCACCTTCTCTTCTCACCAAACTACAAATTTCATACTTCCATAGCACTGACAGTTAAAATGTCAAACTGTATTAATTTGTGCTACAAGGATGTGTTAAAAATATTGGCTCCCTTCCATTTATGAAGAAAAGGCATACATGAC